ACAAATACAAATAAAACATCCTAAAATGTTTTTGAGCAAAGAACCAAGTAGGAAATACATTTTCAATTATGAACTTGAGACAGGTCCAGTCAAAATTTAGTTTTTCACTTTTTTTTTTCTTCGAGGATAAATCCAAATACAGTTAAACTTTGTATGAGCATTCTAATCCTCAGGTCACACATTTCTGAATTAATAAAAATCATTTTTTGGGACAAAATTTTAAGTCACGTTGTTTTTGAATGTACAACCAAATTTATAAAATTTGGGTCTGACGACATATAGAATACATTTCTTGCTTTAGATATTTAAAACTGTTTTGTATAAATATTAGTAAACTCACACAAAGTTTAACTGTAATTGGATAAACCTTCGAAGAAAAAAAGTGAAAAACTAGATTTTGACTAGACCTGTCCCTAGTCTAAAATTGAAAATGTATTTCGTACTTGGTTCTTTGCTCAAAAAATTTTAGGATGTTTTATTTGTATTTGTTTTAAGCACTAGAATAGTTATGCAAAGTTTCAATCCATTTGGATAAACCCTCGAAGAAAAAGGTAACAAAATTGATTTTGACTAGGGTCGCTCCTAGTCCAAAATTGAAAATGTATTTCCTACTTGGTTCTTTGCTCAAAAAATTTTAGGATGTTTTATTTGTATTTGTTTTAAGCACTAGAATATTTATGCAAAGTTTCAATCCATTTGGATAAACCCTCGAAGAAAAAAGTGACAAAATTTATTTTGACTAGGGTCGCCCCTAGTCCAAAATTGAAAATATATTTCCTACTTGGTTCTTTGCTCAAAAAAAATTTTAGGATATTTTATTTGTATTTGTTTTAGCACTTGAATATTTATGCAAAGTTTCAATCCATTTGGATAAACCCTCGAAGAAAAAGTGACAAAATTGATTTTGACTAGGGTCGCCCCTAGTCCAAAATTGAAAATGTATTTCCTACTTGGTTCTTTGCTCAAAAAAATTTTAGGATGTTTTATTTGTATTTGTTTTAAGCACTTGAATATTTATGCAAAGTTTCAATCCATTTGGATAAACCCTCGAAGAAAAAAGTGACAAAATTGATTTTGACTAGGGTCGCCCCTAGTCCAAAATTGAAAATGTATTTCCTACTTGGTTCTTTGCTCAAAAAATTTTAGGATGTTTTATTTGTATTTGTTTTAAGCACTAGAATATTTATGCAAAGTTTCAATCCATTTGGATAAACCCTCGAAGAAAAAAGTGACAAAATTGATTTTGACTAGGGTCGCCCCTAGTCCAAAATTGAAAATGTATTTCCTACTTGGTTCTTTGCTCAAAAAATTTTAGGATGTTTTATTTGTATTTGTTTTAAGCACTAGAATATTTATGCAAAGTTTCAATCCATTTGGATAAACCCTCGAAGAAAAAAGTGACAAAATTGATTTTGACTAGGGTCGCCCCTAGTCCAAAATTGAAAATGTATTTCCTACTTGGTTCATTGCTCAAAAACATTTTAGGATGTTTTATTTGTATTTGTTATAAGCACCCAAATGTTTATGCAAAGTTTCAATCCATTTGGATAAACCCTCGTAAAAAAAGTGACAAAATTGATTTTGACTAGGGTCGCCCCTAATCCAAAATTGAAAATTGATTTTCTATGGTGTACTTTGGTCAAAAAATTTTTTGTATGTTTTATTTGAATTGACATATTTCTGACATAAATCATATGCCAATATTACTTTTTGTAATGCATAGCTTAAAAAAAACCGAAATCTAAAATTTCGACTACCCCATCTGAATTTTGTTCATACTCTTCTCTGTGGAAACCAAAAAACAAATTCTTTATCTTAAAACGCTTGACAAAATAGCGACATAATTCAGGATTAATTACTTTTTAATAATATTTTAACATTAACGAGAAAATGTGGTTCAAATAAGTGTGAGCTATACTTGTTCATAGTGTTCCCAAGGGTGTCGAAATCCAAACTAAGTGTTTTTGTAGCTGACATAATTATGACAAAAATTAGGTATAACTTTTGAACTGTGTCGATATGGGTCTCGGCCGTACTTCACGCCCACCCTTCAAATTTATGCTGAGCAAATCTTGGTCTATCCATAAGACTTTTGATGGTACGGTGTGAATATATCCGCATTGGGTTTCTACCCGATACACTAGTTAATGAATATCAATTGCTTTGCCTGATTTAAAGTCTTTTTATAGATTCATCCAATTTTTAACTCGATTTTCTACAGCAAGTATTTCAAAAACTTGTCAAAAAAGACTTAAGTGCTCAATGTTCCTAGGGGCCGTTCACTTATGACGTCCGACATTTAGGGGGGGAGGGGGATCTAGGATTTTGTGACAGTTCAAACAATGGAAATTTTTTCTATAGAATTTTTGTGACAGATGGGGGGAGGGGGTTTTAAAAATCATTTGATTGACGTCATAAATGAACAACCCCTTATAAAAAATCATGCAGAAACTCATTTTAAACCTTTCATTACACATGAGACTTATTCTATAAATTATTTATCATCAAACTTTTCTATGTTGTCCATTTTCATCTGTCAGTAAAGTCAGTAAATAAAAATCAAACGGGACGAAACTCACTAAAAACATGTCAATCAAGGATTTTCTTCTGTAAAATTTAAATAATCTTTAAGGATTTTGTTAAGTCTCAAAAGAATGATCCTTTTTATGTTAAATCCATTATCATCAATTTACAAGCACGGGCTAAAAGTGAAATGACGTGGATTCTTTATAAAAGTAAAAAGGTTTGAATAATTTTAAATGCAAAAACGCAGGGTGGATTGAATCAATTACAAAATCACTTTCTTTTGTCTATTTTCAATCAAGTTCATTCCGTTGTTTATTTAGTAATTCTACATCAGACAAAACACAATGATTTTTCCAATTGAAGTTTACTTTTATAGGTATATTGCAAAATATTTTAATTTTGTGTGATAAGCAATTGTGTCTGAATTTGAAAATTCACGATGACGATGTTGTTGTTGATTCTGAGGAATTTGTTGTCATGCTACATCTTTAGAGAATGTGATATTCAGGTGTAGGCTGCGGTTTGATGATGCATAGTAAAAAACAGTATTTTTGTCTTGTCATGAGAATCACTTGTTGTTCTGACGAAAGTTATGCAGTCAGCTTTTGATGAAATTGATGAAAGTGCATAAAATATGAGTTATTCAACCACAACGTATCAAATTTTAGATTTTGACATTAAAATATTTTAAGCTAATTATGTTTTCGAATTATTCTTAAATTTTCCACATCTTTAACTTTTGTGTAAACAAATGTACTTTTTTAAGGAGAATAAATTATCCTGAATAATAAAAAAGTCAGTGATTGTATACAAAGCAAGAATTTTTATGAAGCTTAAAAGCTATACACAAAAAAGCAATTCATTCTTTTAAAAAGCAGGTGCATTTTTGTTGAATGTTTTTTGTACGTCATGCAATTTTTAAAGTGATAATAAGCTAATGAATAATAGGAATTGAGAAAACAATCAAAACTTTTGAAGATCATTTAAAATTAATGCTTGTGAATATTATGAAAATAAATCATCAAATTACTCATTTGATGTTGAATCATAATTTATTAGATTGTGGACATTTTTAGGGAATCTTTTGTAAATTAATTCATAACCACATTCATCAAAATTACAACAAACAAAACTAGAAAGTAGTAGAAATAGTTCAATGAGTGCAGTATGTCTACCTAGTATCACATTTCAATACCTTGCTCAAAAATAGTTTTATTCTCTCTCACGTGACTTTTTTTTTCAATAATTTTAAAATCATACAAAACACTTAAAAGTAAACACTATAGTTTTTAAAGTAATGATATAACTCATTCAAAACATTGAGTTGACTCTTAAAAATCATGTGACTCAATGTTTATTTTAATAAAAATATTAACATTTAATATGGGACTAATCGTCAATGATATATTCCAAGCCTCTAGATAAAAAAATTGATGAATAATCTGATAACAAGTTAAATTGTCGATAAAAAAGACCTAGTTTTCACCGCACAGGGCCAATAGAGATTTTTTGTAGTTTCCTATAAAATTATTTAAAAACGTCATGCTTTCAAAAAATTACTTAACTTAATTACAAGTTACCTGAACAATCGCCTTTAATGAATGAAGCTAATGATTTTCCATACAAACGTTGAAATGCATCCTTAATGTCAGTCATATCAATTTCACAGCGAAGTACACAAAGACGAATTAAAGAACGATCATTAGTACCAAGACCAGCCATTGACTTATGAAGTCTTCTTGCAAAAAATTCTGCTGGATTATTAGCATAACGAACAATGGCTAGTAATGCTTCTTCAATGTCTCCACTAAATTCACGTTTGATGTCATTTTCTAAAGTATTTCCAGCCAATTTTTGATATTCTTTACAGACAAGTTTTATTTGCTCATAATTTCTAGAGCACAAGATTCTAATAAATTCACTCTCATCAGTTCCACATACATCAACGCCTGCTTTTTTTAATGCACAAGCATCTTGTTGAGCCGAAATTACATCCGTTTTCATAGATTCATCTCTATTGCCAGTTGACAAAGATGTCATCAAGCGCTTCATGAATCCACTCGTATCGCCACGTAAGTAACTCTCTAAAGTCTTTTTAAACTTTTTTTGGAACCTTTCGTTGATTTCCTTCATATCCTGATTATTAAATGTGCATATTACATCAATAAGGACGTCTTCATCAGTTCCTATGCCGTCCATTGATCGGAAGAGTTCATCAATCCTTTTGGATTATGACTAGTCATAGCATTCCTTAATAAATTAATCTCTATTAGATTCCCATCTCGTAATATATAAATTAATCATAATGCATTATCACCAAAAAAACTATTATAATTTTATATCATTATGCTCAAAATAAATGTTCATAATTTCATTTAAATGTAAATGCTTAACTAAGCTGTTCTTCAATCTATCAGTGATTTTTAAAGACTCCACCTCAACCGAATTTTATAAAGAAATTATAAATAATTATTATGGATCCAAACGTAAGTATAGTGGCTCTAAAATTGATTAAATAATTTAATATGTTTATTTTTGGACAATCTACTTCTCATGTTTAATTGGCTGAACCAAATAAGAAGGTCGACAAGGTAAGAAGATATTAAATTCAAATACTTTGAGGTTGAAAATAAATGAATTTAAATAGCCAAAGGGTCATCCAACTGTTGTGCTAGCATCAAACTTCAATGCTTCAAATGATGCTACAATTTTACGTAAAGCAATGAAAGGTTTTGGAACTGATAATGCTGCACTTATCAGCGTTTTATGTCATCGATCATGTGACCAACGAATCGAAATCGCAAAAGCCTTTAAAACAGAATACGGAAAAGATTTAATTGCTGACATTCGCTCAGAAACTTCTGGCAATTTTGAAAACGTTCTTGTTTCTCTCCTTACTCCAACTATTGAGTTCTACTGCAATGAACTCTTCCGAGCAATGGATGGCATAGGAACTGATGAAAACGTCCTTATTGATGTAATATGCACATTGAATAATCAGGATATGAAAGAAATCAACGAAAGGTTCCAAAAAAAGTTTAGTAAGACTTTAGAGAGTTACTTACGTGGCGATACGAGTGGATTCATGAAGCGCTTGATGACATCTTTGTCAACTGGCAATAGAGATGAATCTATGAAAACGGATTTAAGTTCGGCTCAACAAGATGCTAGTGCATTAAAAAAAAGCAGGCGTTGATGTATGTGGAACTGATGAGAGTGAATTTATTAGAATCTTGTGCTCTAGAAATTATGAGCAAATAAAACTTGTCTGTAAAGAATATCAAAAATTGGCTGGAAATACTTTAGAAAATGACATCAAACGTGAATTTAGTGGAGACATTGAAGAAGCATTATTAGCCATTGTTCGTTATGCTAATAATCCAGCAGAATTTTTTGCAAGAAGACTTCATAAGTCAATGGCTGGTCTTGGTACTAATGATCGTTCTTTAATTCGTCTTTGTGTACTTCGCTGTGAAATTGATATGGCTGACATTAAGGATGCATTTCAACGCTTGTATGGAAAATCATTAGCTTCATTCATTAAAGGCGATTGTTCAGGTAACTTGTAATTAAGTTAATTAATTTTTTGAAAGCATGACATTTTTAAATAATTTTGTAGGAAACTACAAAAAATCTCTATTGGCCTTGTGCGGTGAAAACTAGGTCTTTTTTATCGACAATTTAACTTGTTATCAGATTATTCATCAATTTTTTTTTATCTAGAGGCTTGGAATATATCATTGACGATTAGTCCCATATTAAATGTTAATATTTTTATTATAATAAACATTGAGTCACGTGATTTTTGAGAGTCAACTCAATGTTTTGAATGAGTTATATCATTACTTTAAAAACTATAGTGTTTACTTTTAAGTGTTTGTATGATTTTAAAATTATTGAAAAAAAAAGTCACGTGAGAGAGAATAAAACTATTTTTGAGCAAGGTATTGAAATGTGATACTAGGTAGACATACTGCACTCATTGAGCTATTTGTGCTACTTTCTAGTTTTGTTTGTTGTAATTTTGATTAATATGGTTATGAATAAATTTACAGAAGATTCCCTAAAAATATCCACAATCTAATAAATTATGATTCAACATCAAATGAGTAATTTGATGATTTATTTTCATAATATTCACAAGCATTAATTTTAAATGATCTTCAAAAGTTTTGATTGTTTTATCAATTCCTATTATTCATTAGCTTATTATCCCTTTAAAAATTGCATGATGTACAAAACCCGAGTGCATCAAAAGTATTGTGTTGATTTGAAGTCGTTATTTAATTTCGTAATACCAAAAAGTTTCTATGTTCTTTTCTTGCTTGCCTCATTTCTTTCTTTCAAAATGTTGGTCCCAAGGCGTTGAAACTATCCCAAATATCCCATTTATCCCATATATCTCTAAAATATTCAAAATAATCCTTGAGCCTGTATGCATTAGAGTTGAGATATCCCATCATATCCTGAAATTAAACGTCCAATACACTAAGGATACGTTGGAATATCTTTATTATCGTGCATAAATGCTCAGGAATTTTTTGAATATTTTTGGGATATGTGGGATAAATATGATATATACAACAGAACTAAGTTAACGACTCCTAAAATGATTCAATACGACAAAATGACTGTTTAAAATGAAACATCACTCATATTTTGCATTTTAAGCTGACATTAAACAATATTTTTAAGTAAATTGACAGTTGCAATTTGAAAAATGAATATGCATGCATATACTTTTCTCAACATAAAAACATAAAGATGCCTGTAACAATTTGTGAACATTAATTTTATTAATAATCAATATTATGTGTAACATCTAGAGCTTTAAATTCAAATATCTCTCTAAAATTTGATAATTCAAAAACTTTAAAGTAAATTTTATTAATATTGTTCAAACTGCATTAAAACATTTATAAGGTTTTCGTCCTTTTTCAACAAGATTATGCAAGGAAACTTGAATTTTATTTAAAATGCAGTTATAATATATTTGATAGCTTCACGCACGAATATTTTAAATTTTGAAATAAGTAACATCATATAAAAATTAATAATTAGAAATCAATAATATATTTCATGAATAGCTAGCAAAAAGTATTAGTAAGTGTCAAAAAAAGTTCATTCTCATCGAATATTCATAATTCGTAATTTAACTTCGATTTTCAGCGCATAAAGCATAAAGAGCGTGTTTGTAATGGCCTGGAAAATAATTAAATGAAAATCAGTTAATTGAAATGACTTAATTAATACCGAATATTACCTGATGTATCGCCTTTAATAAACGATTTTAATGACTTTCCATAATATCGTTGAAATTCTTGCTTTATGTCCTCCATATCAACTTCACTACGTGTTACACAAAGACGAATTAATGATCGATCAGTTGTTCCAAGACCAGCCATTGACTTATGAAGTCTGCGTGCAAAGAATTCTGGTCGATTGTTTGCAACACGAATTATAGAAAGCAAAGCATCCTCAATATCGCCGCTGAATTCACGCTTGATGTCTTTTTCGAGTGGATTTCCAGTTAATTTTTCATATTCTTGACAAACAAGTTTTAGTTGTTCATAATTTCTAAGACACAAAATTCTGTTGAATTCACTTTCATCAGTTCCAAATCTACCAATGCCTGCTCTTTTCAATGCTTCAGCATCTTGTCGAGCTGAATTTACGTCTGTTCTCATAGATTCGTCTCTATTGCCAGTTGACAAAGATGTCATTAAACGTTTCATGTTGCCACTTGTGTCACTACGTAAATGACTTTCCAAAGTCTGTCCAAACATTCTCTGATACATCATGCCAATTTCGCGAATTTCTTGATTAGACATTGTACACATTACTTCAATCAGAGCGTCCTCATCAGTTCCAGCTCCAACCATAGCTTCATAAAGCTCACGACAATAATATTCTGCTTTTGGCATTAATAAAGCTATTAAAACACTTTGGAAATTTCCTGATGTTTCTGAACGAATGTCTTCAAATAAATCTTTTCCATAAGCTGTTTTATATGCACGAACAATATCAACTCTTTGATGGCTTGGACGGCGACATAAAATGTTAATAAGACCATCTTCATCAGTCCCAAATCCTTTCATTGCTTTACGAAGTGCAGCAGCATCATTTGAAGGATCAAAATTTGGTGCTGGCAAAACAGTTGGACGACCCTTAAAAATATTTAAATATGCGTTAGAAAATATTTTACTTGACGAGCTTGATAATCATGCGAATTTTCTATTTTTAGACATAAGAAAATATTCATACTAAACATATTCACACCGTACTCAAAAGTCTAGATTACTAATTCAGTATCGATTGGTTATCATTAGCATATGATGTCAAAAAGAAATTTTTTTTTTAAATCTGTGACTCATCTTTATAGTTTTGACGTCACATTATTCACGTTAATGATAAAAAGGAATCAAATACTGTTTAAGACCATGGAAGCATTTTTTGACGTTTTATGTGAACGACCTCTTACAATTTCGCTTATCTTTCGAGTTACAATCAATGGAAATGTGATGATGTCGTAGCTGAATTTATGTCAAATATACCACACTTACTCTTCTTACTTGTGCAGTGGGGGACGAACTATAAGAAGCAGCATATTGTTGTGCCTGAATAGGCTGTTGTTGATGCTGTGGAGAGCTGTAACTTCCGTAGCCTTGAGTTGGAATCTGAGCAGTTGGAGATGAATAATTTGGAACACTTTGAGGATAAGCATTTGGAACAGATGGATATGAAGGCTGTGTAGCTTGTTGAAAGGGTGGTTGAGATGGCTGTTGCCCGTAAGCAGGCATTTGTGGAGCTTGGCCATAAAGAGTTTGAGATGATTCCTGTCCATAGCCAGGCATTTGAGGTATTTGACCATAAACAGGCATTTGTGGAGCTTGCCCATAATTAGGCATTGATGGCTGTTGTCCATAACCTGGTTGAGGCATTCCATATGCTGGTTGTTGAGGCATTGTAGGATATCCAGCACCAAAAGGCATTTGAGATGGTTGTGGCATTTGAGATGGTTGTGGCATTTGAGGGGGATATCCTGATCCGAATGGAGGATTATTTGGATACTGTCCAGGATTATAACCTTGCTAAATCCATAGATTTAAAAAGATAAATTTAAGCAGATCAGTTTCGACGAGAGATTATGTTACAAAAAGAAACATTCACTGATGGTGAAATTCTAATTTTTTCACGCATTGAATCAATTTTTTCTCTGGCATTGAATGCATACTTACGTTTGGATACATTTTATTTGTGATTCACAGGTGCTATTTGCTGAGAAAAACAATATTTTTTACAATAAAATGAGATAAAATTTAAAAATACAGCAGAAAGTTGTTGTCTATTCGACGAGTTCTACTAAACTGAATGGAAATGAGAGGAAAGAGTACATTCACATATTTATAATATGTCTCACGCATACTACACATACTTTAAGTAAATATTCAAAATTAATGACGAAATATTTCCGATTGTATTGATGTTTTTAATACTTTTAAGCTGATTGTCGTGAAATGTTTTGATATTTTGCGAAATTTTCCAAACAAAACTTGATAAATTCAGACTTGACCTCGCCATGTGACACTTTCTAATATTATTTTTATTATATTGGCGCCAAATAGTCTCAATAAGAAGAAGCAATAGATGTAACACATTTTAGGGGAAATAATAAGAACTAAGTTCGTGCATGTTATCAACACTATAAATTTATTTATTCGCTCAATTATTCAAGCTAGAAAATGAGTCATTCAGTACAATTCTGAAAAAGCAATTTTGTAAACTTAATTAGCTCAACAAGTGACGTGTCTTAACTAGTTATCAAAATACTATGATTCACTTTGACGTCAACAACAAGATATAGAATTTCCAATATAACATTCAATAAAAGTTCTTTCAATATATGGTTTCAAAATACAAAAAGAGTCCAAAAATGCGTAGATAGTACATAAGAAAGCTAAAAAAACATTGGCAACTTGGTGAACGTGTTGTTCCTTAATACATGTATTATGTAAAACAGCGAAATATTCTCCAGTTTAACTTTTATTCTCTCCAATCAAGACGTATAGTGCATGTTTATAATGACCTAAAATAAGAAGAGGAAGTAAGTTGATTGTAATACATTGTCATTTATACTGATTGAGGCTAATACAATTCTATCGAATGTCACACAATGTGATATCAATAATATTGTAAAACTTACCGCCTGTATCGCCTTTAATTGCATCTCTCAACGACTCTTTATATTTTCTTTGGTACTCTTCTTTAATGTCCATCATGTCGATTTCACTTCTCGTAACGCATAAACGAATCAAATCTCGATCATTGGTTCCAAAACCAGCAACTGAATTATGTAAGCATTTTGCAAAGAATAATGGACGGTTTATTGCACATCTCAAGACTGAAACCATTCCTTGTTCGACATCACCACTAAATTCCTTCTTAATGTCATCTTCCAATGAGTGACCTCTTATTTTCTGATATTCATCAGCCACAAGACGAAGTTGTGCAAAATTTCTCAAGCACAAAATTCGATTAAATTCACTTTCGTCTGTTCCGAAGCATTTAACGCCAGCATGAACCAATGACTGAGCATCAGTTCTAGCTGAATCAATATTAGTAATCATGGATTCATCACGATTTCCTGTTGATAAGGAAACTAGTAATCGCTTGAATGACCAGCTAGTTTCTGTTTTCAATGATTCTTCCAATGTCTGACCATACAATCTGTTAAATTCTGTTGTAATAGCTTGAACTTCTCTATTTGGCAAGCCACCACATAATATTTCAATTAATACATCCTCATCAGTTCCAGCTCCATCCATTGCAGCTTTAATTTCCTCACAATAATATTGAACTTTGGGTGTCAGCAATGCTACAAGAACCTTCTCGAAATTCCCAGATGTTTCCTTTTTGATGCTTTCAATCAAGTCTTTTCCATATGCTGTTTTATATGCTCTAACAATTTCCATTCGCTGATCACAAGGACGACGACACAAAACATTGATTAATGCAGCTTCATCGGTACCAAATCCCTTCATTGCTTTACGCAAAATTGCAGCGTCATTCGAGGCATCAAAATTTGGAGATCTTAAAACCGTTGGCCTTGACTGATAAAAAAATAAAATGATAAGGAAATGATTATCATAAATAAGGCGCGACAATAATTATGCATGTAATTACTTGAGGTGTAGCCATAGTAGAGGCCCCATGAGAATATTGTGGAGCGTATTGTTGTGGAACATGCTGCTGTTGTTGAAAATCACCATACTGTCCAGGTATTGGTGCATGTGTTTGGTATCCAGGCATAGGTGGTTGCATTTGATATCCAGGCATAGGTTGTTGCATTTGATATCCAGGCATAGGTTGTTGCATTGGTGGATATCCAGGCATTTGCTGTTGGTTCTGATAGTCAGGCATTGGGGGATATCCAGGCATGTTTTGCATTGGGGGATATTGTGGTGCTTGACCTGGATAAGGCATTTGCTGATTTGGGTACTGAAATAATTTAATAATAATGATAATGATAATGAATTAAGTCATATGACCGAGATTAATAATAATTAATTCACTCTGAGAACAAAGGTGTTAAATATTAATAGAGCGAACTTACATTTGGATACATATTTTATGCTTTAATAGCTATAAAGAATGCAAGATTAAAAAATGTTTTTAAAAAATTGCTGATGTCTCAACACGTCTTAACTGACTGAAGCACAACAATTTACTGAGAGAACATTTTTATTTTTTGAGAGAAATAATTTTACGTCTACGTATACATTCACAGGAACCGGTATTATGAAGTAAACAAACATTATCATATTGATAACGACAACATAATTTTATTGAGGATTTCCTATTTTAATTGCTGGACTTTTTTTTTTGATTTTATAACTGACAAGTTTTGAAGCTTCAAAGTCAAACGAACAATTTTAATTTAAAATTATATGCTATATTCGTCGATATAGCATTAGTTTTAGTATAGCGGCAAAATTCTCTGACGTCATATAATTAAGTTCATTTAAAACTAGTTTTTGTAGTCATACTCATACATTCATAAACATTCCGTAACTGAACAAAATAGACAATTCATGTCTGTGAAAGTATTTGACTCATTTTTACACGTAGTTTTTTCCCCTTTATTCGAGAACTTTGATCGTGAAATAAAAGAACTCCAAAAATTAACTTTTCTTCATTTTATACACGAATTTAGAGAATACAAGAGGTTTAAACAGTTTATTTACTTAAAATATATCAAAATAAATCAAAATAATCATGTCGTTAACGTGGACTTTAATAGGTATAAAACTTTTTGTCTATTTCGCAATTATTTAAATCTCTTAAAAAATCGTCATAAAATTATTAAAAACTCAATAATTTCATTGTTTCACAGCTGGATTTCTTTATGCTGAAGTTGCAATAGTACTTTTATTGGTTTTACCAGGTAAATAATGAGCATAAAGTATCAAATTGTTCACTTTCCCTAAATGGAAAATAATTCCATAAAAAACAAAATGACTAATGATCTTCTTAGTTTTCAGTGCTTCAAGATGGAACCGATTCTTCAAGTCGAGATTCTTAGCTGCACTTTCACGACAAGCTCAGATCTATTTTTATTTAATGATTGGTGTTTTAGTCATATTTTTGCTTGAAGCTATCAGAGAAATGAGAAAATACTCATCGGTTGAGGAAGAAACGACACTAAACTTGGGAATGCAACACTCAATGCGTCTGTTTAGAGCTCAACGCAACTTCTACATCTCTGGATTTGCTATTTTCTTAGCTTTGGTGATTCGTCGACTTATTATTCTTATTTCGGAACAAGCTCAGTTGATTGCACAAAGTCAGGCATCAATGAAACAGGCACAATCAGCTACTCAAGCTGCACGTAATTTGATGACCGAAAAGAAACCAGAAGAAGAAGAAGGAAAGACTGATAATGAAACAGTTAAATTGTCAGAAAAAGTTAAAGAATTAGAGGCTGAATTGAGAAAGGAACAAAAGGATAAGGAAGCTTTAAAATCACAAGCTGAGTCATTGAACAGAGAATATGATCGCTTGACTGATGAGTTCAGCAAGTTGCAAAACAAGACAACAAAAGCATCAGGAGATAAATCTGATTAATTTATTTGATTGTACTCTATTAATGTCCTGTGTGATGGTTTATCTTACCTCTAATTCCTTAAAATTATAAAAATTACTGCGAATTATTGGCCTTAATAATGTATTTTTAATCTATAAATTTTTTTAAAACGTTGTTTCAAACATTTAAAGTGTGAATGTAATTGAGATTTTTTAGGAAGCAACAGCAACAATAAAGCATTAAATGCTAATCAATTAATGATAAAATATCACTAAAACATCAAGTTGTTCTGTAAATGACGTCTTGCATTTTAAACTAATTTCCCCTTTTTGAAAATTTATCGGTTTTCAAAAATTTGAATCCACAGGTCTTTGAATTGGAAATTTTAAAAATTTAATGACGGTTTTTAATTAAAGGTTTACATAATTAAGCATTAAAAACTATCGCATAATGGAAAAAAATTGCAGTTGCGGGCCAAAATTTATCATTAATCCTTCCGAAAACAATGTACGTGACATGAATTATACACAGACTGAGCATTCGATAAGAAAAATTCAAAGTCAACTTTTATATTACAGCCAAATTAAATATGTCTAAGCGTCAATTATTACTATTAAGCTCGTCTAATTATCATGGTCATGAATTCTTGCAATTTGCAAGAGACTGGATTACAGATTTCTTGAAAAAGTAAGTACCAAAGCTGAATTAAAATTATTTTTGGAAGTGAAAATTATTTGAAATTTTCTTTGTATCTTTTTTTTATAGGAATAATGTATCTAAAATTCTATTCATACCCTACGCATCCACTGAACCTGATTCGTACACTAAATATACTGAAAAAGTCGCAAAACCATTAAAAGAATTCGGATTTGATGTTGAAGGTATTCACGAATCAAGAGATCCAGTTGAGGCTATTAATAATGCTTCTGCCATATTTATTGGTGGTGGAAATACTTTCCATTTGTTGAAAACCTTATATGATAAGAGAATAGTTGAAGCAATTCGTTCACGAGTTTTAGATAACGGAATTCCATATATCGGAAGCAGCGCAGGAACAAATGTCGCGACTGTATCTATAAATACAACTAATGATATGCCAATAGTATTGCCGCCAACTTTCTATGCATTACAATTGCTTGATTTCAATATTAATCCTCATTATCTTGATCCAATTACTGATGATAAGCATCGTGGAGAGACTAGAGCTCAACGAATCAATGAATTTCATCATATTAACTCTTCGCCAGTTTTGGGCTTGAGAGAAGGTTCAGCATTATTAGTTGATGGCGATAATGCAACATTAATTGGACATACAAAAGCAATATTATTCTGTCGCAATGAAGATCCACAAGAATTTGAACCAGATTCTGATCTTAGCTTCTTAGTCTCATCATCTTAGAGACATAGTAACAAAGTATTTCCTATATTTTTGCATAAAGAACAACAAACTTGTAAGCTTTGATAATCAATCATTAAAATGAGCATTGCTTTTATTATAATAATCATCCTATATAAAGTTCATACAAATATTTTTTCGAAAAATAAAGTAATTTTTTTTGGCATAAAACTTTTTTTTGAGAAAGGCACAACTTTTTTTTTTAAGATTCAGAAATTGAATTTTCTAAGGCCACAATAGCTTCACCAAGCTGCTTTCGACTAACGAGATTAATACATTTATGTTCCATAGATGTGTTCATATATTGGCATTTTGGCAGTGGATTGTCAGCTGAAAAATTGTCCATAAAGCTTTCCATGTTGATTCCATATCTCAGTGACGGTTCAATAGCCCTCAAAATGTGAACAGGAGTTTGAGCTTTTACGAATATGTCCAACACATTGTTTACATCCTGATATTGTCGTGACTGAAGATTAATAATGTCAGCATCTTTTCGGATTATAGGAACAAATGCTTCCAATTTCTTGCGTGCTAAAAAATAAAATAATTGCCACGTATTAAAAATCGTGTATCCACGTAATCAAAAATTACATTACATACCATCAACGTAATCACGACTGTAGAAAGAGATGATGTCAAAGTTTTTCTGATCAAAATATCCAGTGCTTTGTGCCACGTCACAACTTTCACATGCATTACAGAATGACGTCTTCTTGCATGGATATTGCATAAAACCAACAGGTGAAAAGATTTGGAAGCCTTGAATTGTATTCATTCGGACTCGATTAAGAAAGTCATTTTTGAAATTTACAAGATTTGAAAAGACTAGTACCAGGCTTTCTAATCCAATTTTTCTTAATGCTAAATCTGTAGCAACTAGTGATAAAATCTCTTGATTGCCATAAATTGAATTTAGCAGTTCGTCTTGCTCTCGATATGTATAATTGAATTCTGGTGGAAGTCTAATTGAAACCCACGCGATTCTCGAGTCATCGCCTTTAATTCTCTTCGATGTAGAAATTGCAACATTTTTCAGTCGATAGAACACATCAGATTCAGCCTTATTAGAGTCATTCGAATTATAAAGTAATACAAGCATAAGTGTCGTCGAGTCTTTATTCTGCATACAAATTTCCTCATATTTAGTTAAAAAGTTTATTGTATCATCTATTCGATGAGTAAATGTAGGAACAATCATTGAAATTCTAGTTGATTCTGTCACATATGGACTTGGAATAATTTGAATTAAGGATATTGGCTTAACGACTTCATAATTTTTTGTCACAATTTCATCATCGACACTCTTAAATGTTAAGTAAATTTTATATTCCATGCCACGGACATGATCGAAGCGTCTATAAGCTGATTCCATATCGATGAACACTAGTTCTGGATACTTTTTCTTTACATCCAATAAGATTCCATCAAGAATCTTTCTAATATCAGTTGCATCAGTTTTACTCAATGGCTTAACATTAACTCCACTTTCATCCATAAAGCTATGTGTTAAATTTAAATGAGTCCAAACGATTATATCATGTCGATGCTGTGGTTTCATCGAATTAGCAACTCCAAGTGGCCATTTTACTTCCAAAATGTTATTTGAGATTTTGCCATTTCCAATTCCTTGTGCTTCTTGTTCTAAATTAGCTATTTTGTTCTTTACAGCTTCTAAATGCAGTTTAGAATAGTAAATATGAAGTATGAACATGTCATCTGCTTGATTTATTGGATAAACACTTGCTGCATTATTAAATTCTGAATCTTCCTTCAACACATGTAAATCACGATAAATCTTCTGATTTGATAATTGATAACTTTTGATCGAGACTCCTTGGAATGATTCTTGACATTCCTTAATTTCTGTAGCTTGCTGCACACATCGTCCAATATTGACACTATGATGAGTTCCGTCTGCATTTCTTACACACAAATCAAGTTTTGATTTAATTTTCTTAATTACGCTACTGCTGAATATGATACCAGCTTTCAAATCACAAAATCCTTCCTCACGATCAGATTCTTTAGTTCCAAGATAAACGTCAAAACTCATGCTTATATGATTCAATTGTTCCATTAATAATTTCGCATTTACGTAGGCAGCATCCTCAATTATATAGAAGAAATCATAGTCTTCAAGATAATTATCTGCTATGTATTTAAGAACATGAAAAGGTCGATAGTTCTCTCTAGTGTCTGTAAATCCAACGATATTCTTGAGCTTAAAGTTTGTTTTGACATTATCAGCATGGATAAAGAACTTGATCTTATTGACTAAATGAGCAGTGGTTTTGTTAAATGCTGTGGCTAAATTATCGATATTCTCTTGAACTGTTAATACTCCGACAAATAAGCGATCCTGCTTCACATTTAACTCGCTTGAAAAATATCGTGGACGAACGATAGATTTCACAGACTTTTTAGCAATCATTGGTTTCTGTGCCAGGTTTAATTGAGGCTCAAAATCCTCATTAAGCATGTGGATATTCTCATTGTCTTTAATTGAATATAATTCACTTGTTTGAGATACAACACAATCCTCATGAACATAATTTGTAGGCCAATAAAAACTCAGAAGAAATCCCCCAACTAGACACACTATAAAATACTGATTTGCACTTAATTGAGAATTTCTAAACCTAAATACCTTCGGAAGATGCATCTTATCCTTGTTAAAGGCACGTTAATTAGCTAGATATAAATTTTAACATTTAGATGAATTTTTTGGAACGTCAACAAAAAATCCGAATCGCAAAATGTTGCACAATTTTAAATGTTCATCAGCCGTTGAAACAAGGCTCAATTCTTTTATCTTGATTTTCTCAATAATTTATCACTATTTTCATTGACCGTTCACTTACTACGGTACGCAAAAAAAACGACTTTTTTCACCCCACTCCCCCCTTGTTATAATATTTTACAACTCATAACCCCCCCCCCAAACACTTTACTTTTTTTACTTTTACAAAAAAATACCACTTTAGTCCCGCAAATTAATAAACATGTGCAGATTTTGCATGTTCACACATGATATCTACACACATAAATATGTGTCACACATCACACATTTTCATATGTGACACAAAATAATGTGTCACACATCAAATATGTGCACAGATGCAATGTGTGACATATATTATCTGCCAACATATGAATTCTGCCACACATTGTACACATGAACATGCAAAATGTGTTGGATATGTGTACATATTCTGTAAAATAGAATATTTTTTTACAACCCTGGTTGAACCATTAATGTTGATATGTAACAGTTAATCCAAAGGCTTAGAAAAAAATAAAATAATACACAAGTTCAACGGTAGAAAAAGTTTTGAAAATGCCGATAAAAAGTGCGCGATTCGCAAATTAGAAAATAAAGTGATTCATTTTGTGCAAAATTTAAAAATATTAAATTTCTGTGGTTATTTAAGTAGTTAAGGCTTTAAATATAATGGATAATCAAGGAAGAAACGTTATTGTCTGCGACAATGGAACTGGCGTGAGTATTTTGTGCGAATTTATTTGAGAAAATCATTATTTAAGAATTTTCTGCTTGGGTGTTGGTTTTTCTTAATATATAATTTTGATTAATTCCTTATCTCATTAAATTCATTGCAGTTTGTAAAATGTGGATATGCTGGAAGCAATTTCCCGGCACATATATTTCCATCGATGGTTGGTAGACCGACAATTAGAGCTGTAAACAAAATTGGCGATATTGAAGTAAAAGTGAGTTATCGTGAATTAAACATCTTTATTAATTCTTCTTTTCTTCTCTCTTCCTTAATTATTTACATTTGGATCGTTTCAAATTATTATTTTCAAAATATAATATAATTAAACTTATAGGACATTTTTCTGGGAGTAAGTCACAGATATTCGTATATCTTTATCGTTTCGTTATCTTTAACTCTTTTGTTGTTGTTGTTGTTGTTTTTTGACTGCCCTTATTACGCTCATGAATCACTAACAAGTTTGTTCCTTACTTACTTGCCATTCCCATTTTTTTATGCTTTCACACATTAATCTCGTAAGGATGTTGGCTCGACATTACCTGTAAGTAACACAATTCGAGTGCAGTGCGATGTGTGTTCCTACATAGTTTACTCGATTGACATGACTTGTTTTTATTTAGAATAGAGTGTGCTGCAGATATCACTAATTGTTTTTTTTTTACTTGATTTTCGTTGCATGGCATCGATTCCTTCAAATATTATTAGCTTAATTAATTTTAATTATAATTGTAGGACTTGATGGTTGGCGATGAAGCGTCTCAATTGCGTTCAATGCTGGAAATTTCATATCCAATGGAAAATGGAATGGTTAGAAATTGGGAAGATATGTGTCACGTGTGGGATTACACATTTGGTCCGAAGAAAATGAATGTTGATCCAGAAAATACAAAGATTTTGCTCACGGAACCGCCATTAAATCCACTAAAGAATCGTGAAAAGATGATAGAAGTGATGTTTGAAAAGTATGGATTTCATTCTACGTACATTGCCATTCAAGCTGTATTGACATTATATGCTCAAGGATTAATTAGTGGTGTTGTTATTGATTCTGGTGATGGTGTTACACATATTTGTCCTGTTTATGAATCATATGCATTGCCACATTTAACAAAAAGATTAGATATTGCTGGTCGTGATATCACCAAGTATCTCATCAAATTGCTACTTTTACGTGGCTATGCATTTAATCATTCTGCTGATTTCGAAACAGTTCGAATGATGAAGGAGAAATTATGTTATATCGGCTACGATATTGAAATGGAACAAAAGCTCGCATTAGAAACGACAGTTCTTGTTGAAACCTATGCATTACCTGATGGACGAGTTATTAAAGTTGGTGGTGAGCGATTTGAAGCACCAGAAGCTCTCTTTCAACCACATTTAATTAATGTTGAAGGACAAGGAATTGCAGAATTAGTTTTTAGTACAATTCAAGCTGCAGACATCGATATAAGACCAGAATTGTATAAGAGAATTGTATTGTCTGGTGGATCAACAATGTATCCAGGTCTTCCATCTCGTCTTGAACGAGAAATTAAGCAATTGTACCTTGAAAGAGTTTTAAAGAACGATATTGACAAGTTATCAAAGTTTAAGATTCGCATTGATGATCCGCCAAGACGAAAAGATATGGTTTTCATTGGAGGTGCAGTTTTGGCCGGTTTAAACAAAAATAAAGATGAGTTCTGGATGTCGAAACAAGAGTATCAAGAAATGGGACTTAAAGTCTTGACTAAATGGGGTGCGCGAGCATAAAATACTAATTCTTTCGCAATTTTACGACTATAAATTCATTATTATCCAAGTATTGTCTTTCTTTATCGATAATTTTTTTATACTAAACTAAATTTATTATTATAAAGGATATAGAACAAGTAGCACATTTCTGTAATTTAGTGCATTTTAATGTGCATTCCGATGAATAAATTGTATAAAAAATATCAATTAATTAAAATAATAAAATTATATTGTCTTCAATGGATCTTCATCCTTTTCAGACACAAAAATGTCTACATCAGTTGTTTTTAAGAGATCAGCTAATATTGGAACGAAGTGATGTAAGTAGCCACGCTCAGAGTTTGAATGATTCAACATGATAATATGGATATTGTTTGAATTAGCTTCTAGAACCTCATGATGGCTCATTTCACCAGTAATGAATAGATCAATGTCTTCCTTTACATCTTTAAGTACACTTGAACCACTTCCAGGACAGCATGCAAATGACTTGATTTGAGAATCCAAAGATCCAGTAAAAGAAACTCCAATTCTTAAATCATCAAGCTTCGTATACTTTTTAACCAGATCAACAACTTGCTTTAGTGAAAAAGATCCATCAACTTGACAAACTCTTCCAGCACCAAAATCTGGGTTTGAGACATTTGGAATGACTGGCTTCATTGTCTTATTAGGAACTGAATTTGCTAACCATTCACTTGTTCCATTAGAAATGCTATCCCAAACAGTGTGTGGTGAATAAATTGAAATTCTATTTTCAATTGCTTTAATTATGATCCGTTCCTTCCATTGACTGTTTGTCAGTCTTTTTAAGCCTTGAAATATAGGTGGATGATAGCTGATTATCATGTTTGCATTCTTAGCGATTGCTTCATCCATAACATGCTGTGTCAAGTCATTAGTTAACATGATTGTTGACACATCCACGAAAGAATTGCTAGGTTCAACAAGGAGCCCTACATTATCCCATTTTTCAGCATAATGTAAGCTTCCAAATTCTTCCAACTTTTTAACAATTTCTGATAATCTGTATTAAGGACATTTAGTAAATATTTATTAAATAATATAATAATTCTTACTTCATGTTTGTTGCTTTAATAGCTGATAATGAGAAGCTTCTCGCTAAATTAGTTTTAATCAAATTATTGTGAGAATAAGTTCTCAAAATCAATGAGGTTATTCGAAACATTCAGTCTGCTTTTAATTTAATGCTTTTATCATACTATTAATGAATGTTTTTGAGGATTAATAAGATAATTTGAAGCATGTTATGAATTTAAGTAATATTTTTTGCACAAATCATGTTTTTCAACATTAATCATAGTTGTAACGACTTTTTGAAATTTGAATGAAGCAAAATATTTGTGTAAAGAAGGGAAAATCCACGTAAAAGTGAAATTTTAATAATTAATTTAACGCTTTAAACTCATATCTCACGCTAATCCACTGCTTTATAACGATTAAACATACAATAAACAACTCAGCTACAAAATATCATTGAGCAATCAGCGTGTAATAAGTGAGTATTTTGAGATAGTATGATTTTCGTGGAAAGTTCTAGGATATGGAATTGACCACAACACATTTATTCAGTTTCGAGATATTTTGCGTATTAAGTAAATTTTGCTGAAAAGTAAGTAAAATCGCCCCAAAAAATTACTAATTGTATCAGACAAGATTTATTAAATCGATAAGAATTGAAATTAAGTGGAATCGCATTAAATAATTGCGTAAAAATAGCAATTTATCGGAATTTATCCGTTTGTTTTTGACCCAATTGCAACAACAACGTTAAGCACCGCACGTAGACATACAAACAAAGAAAGAGAAGGAAAAAAAGGCTGGAGACTAATAAATTTTATGAGCATTCGCATTGACAGTCAGCAGTCGCAGAAAAGGATCACAATAAGTCATAATTTGTGCTCCTTTCTGTAGCCTTAACTGTAACTTTTCATTCGGACGAATTAACGTGGACATCGTCGAGCATTTTCGAATGAAAGATCTTTTATTGTAGAGGAGAAAAAAAAAAACTGCGTAAAAATAAACATATACGGTCACAGCGAATAATCTAACACTCAAAACAGCCGAGTGAAATAAGAAGTCGAAGAAAAACAAGTAAATTCGGAGTACGAACGATAGAAAGAGAAAGAAATAACACAAAAAATAATAAGCAGCAAGTTCATAACAACATATACACGGCAGAAAAAAACTGAAAGTTGTTTTTTTCCTTCAAATCTATAAACAGACAGACAGAGAGGAAGAAAATTTATATATATTTCTTATTAAATCAAATCAAAAACAAAGACTAAGACTAAAGAGAAAAAGTAAGGATGGAGTTCAAAAAGTTTGAAGTCGGTGCGATGTTGAATGAAGTATCGAGTGATGGTGATGTAAGCGATAATATCGAGACTGATGAGGGCGATAATAAGGTAGTGGAAAATACTGAAAAGAATTTCTTGAAGAAGCCATTGACTGTTGAGGAACATCGCGCTTTACGTCGCAAGAGTAAGAAGAATTTAGAACGAAAAAATAGCAAAGATGGTGTACTTGGTGTTGCTGGAGCTCCTAATTTTGTAGCTCCACAACGTCGCTGGAAGAATTCTCGTCGTTCAAGAAATGGTCGTGGATTAGTCAAAAAAAGTGGGGGTGGACGTGGAAATTGGGGTAAAATGGGTAGTGAATTGCTCGAAGAATATGAATTAGACGAAAAGGATCCAAACTTCAATGACGAAGATCTAGCTAATGTTGAATTCAAGGAGATTGTTTGTACAACAAAGAAAATGAATAATGAGGAAGAATTCCTTAAGAACTTTGAGATGGCAATGTTAGAATATTTTGAACATGGTGACACTCACGAAGTTGCATCCGAAATAGACGAAAATATGCGATCAGGAGCATTGAGGCCACTTGTTATTCGTAAAGCCGTGGAAATGGCACTAGAACATAAGATTTCGCACCGGGAAATGACGAGTGTATTACTCTCAGATTTATATGGACGATGTTTGATCTCATCAGATTATGAACGTGGTTTTGATATGCTATTAAGCAATTTACAAGATTTAATTCTTGACACACCAGATGCGCCCCATGTTGTTGGAAATTTCATTGCACGAGCTGTAGCTGATGACTGTTTACCTCCAAAATATGTCCATCAATTAGCTCGCAATAATGGCCTTCGTAATTCACCGAAAAATGGTAATGGAGTTGAAAATGGTGAAGAGGAAGTAGCGAGTGCAAGTAGACAATTAAGTGATCTCGCTCAACAAGCATTGGACTATGCTGAAGGTAAATATTATAACAAAATCTGTGAATTTGAGAATTAATAAGTAAATAAAACCCATTTTTTTAGGTCATCTATCGAATCATAATGGATGGGCGCATCTTGATAATGTTTGGGGAGTTGCTGGTGGATTGAGACCAGTTAATAATATAACGAAACAAATGGAATTGTTGCTTAAGGAATATTTGTTATCGCGCGATATTCCTGAAGCTCAACGCTGTATCAGCGCATTGGAAGTTCCACATTTTCATCACGAATTGGTCTATGAGGTAAATATATTCATTCAGAGATATAGAAATATAGCAAGATGATGTGACCAAAATTTGTTATTATTTATTTATTAACAATCTAGGCTATCATCTTGAGTCTTGAAGCTCTGAATGAAGGTGTCGAAGACGCAATGTCCAAATTGTTGAAGTCACTTGAACAAATGTGTATTGTCACGCCTGAAGCTGTCGAACAGGGCTTTCAACGTGTCTACGATGATATTCAAGACATTTCATTGGATATCCCTCTGGCATACATCATACTTGAACGTTTCGTTCAACGTTGCTACAATTTGGCTCTATTGAGCGAAAAGATGCTCAAGAATTTGCCATCACGGTAAGTTTAAAAACAGGAAAAAAAACAGCGACAAATGAAAATTCTCCTTTATTCATCCGGTTTTAATAGTATTCACCGTATTCACTAATATTATAATGTGCGCATGTTTCGTACAAACGATGAAAAGGGAGTGAATAGTAAGAGAGTAGGAAAATAAATAACAAACCGGCATATTATCGGTAAAGTGAAGTGTAGATTCAGATTGTGTAATATTGCAAAATAACAAAAACAATTGTTCGGGCGGCGATGCGAGACTCTTTTCAACATGTGCTCATTTTGTGATACAATAGCACTTTTTAATATCATCACTATCATTTACATTTTATTGTTTTAGTGTCACTTATTTATTGCTCAGACTTGTCAATTTCTTTGCCTATAATGCATCAATCATGCGGCAATTTATTTGTTTATATTAATTTTGTGCCTTTTAGCATACAATGTTTTTCAGCGTGGTTAATAATGCGCAAAAAAAGTAATATCTTGTCGACCTTGTATTGTTAAAGTAAACAACACACTACAATTGTATTTGCTGACTGAACTAAGCACATTTAAACAACGTAAAAAGCATGTTTTGAAGCTAATGAGATGTAAAGTTGATATTTGGAGACATTTGTATGCACTGCAGCTGTTTTTCGTCCTTAAAATTATTGTTTTTGTTAAATCTTAAGATCAATTTTAATCGTGAGATTTATTTATTCATCCCACGAACAAAATGAGAGTTAATGATTTTGGCACATTTGACCTTTAAATAGAAATTTGCGACTTCATTTCACAGTTGATTAATTTTGTGAAAATGCTTTTCGAGTCTTTTTCATGAATATTTACTATTTTGTGTATAGTCTGTAGTCTGTGTTAAATTCAAAAGCGTTGTTTACACAAAATTGCTAACAATAGGAGCTATTTGAATCGATGTATTGTAGACAAGAAAATCAATGAAATCGCCTTGTTGCTTGCTTAAATGAATGCATAACAATTTAAGTCCTAATTTATTTTTTCCTCGTCTCACTCACTCACTCGCTTAAAACATTTCCTTCTCATTCATGCATGACATTTAAACTGTTATAGAATGATTGAATGTTTATATTGATTGTAACTCAGACCCTTGAAATATCTATTGAGGATAATGGATTTAATTTCATATATTTTCTTTTGATTTATATGAAGAAATTTCAATTTTAAATCATTCAGCAATTTGTAGTACAAGTATGAAAGGGATTGAAACTGTTGAGTTATTTTGCACCTGTTTGTGAATTGCTTGTGTTTAGAACATTAGCATCAATCTATTAGATTCATAACGTTATGGAATCGTAGTAGAAGTCGACTAGAGCTTCCATCCCTTTTAATTTGACGTAAAAACACTTGATTCCTCCACTTCAAATGAATATTGTTGTTGTTTTTTATTCAAACATGAAAATGAGGAGAATTTTCCATCAATCGTCGTTGTTGTTGTTATTTCTTTATTCATACCTAGCAAACAGAAACTGATGTTCATTCAAATACTTTCTTTTCTAGTGGTCGCAAGCGTTTTGTATCAGAAGGCGATAGTGGTTTGGTCAAGCCCAACGCGATGATGTTCCGTGACTTTTAAGTCAATCACATTCATCAAGATAAGATAACAATTAACACTGTAAGCCAAGACAAAAAGTGTCTAACTTTGAAATAAGAAAAAACAAAACAAAAATAATAAGTGAAAAAAAAGCCAGCTCGAAAGTGAGTCTAACACGAAAGTGAAAAACATTTAATTGCATGATGAAAAACCTTTTTAAATCAGCCACCTTAATATATTCTTCTTTGTATTTTAAAATCATTTTTTTAAAGTCCTGTTTCTTTTTATATTAATTAATTCATGAAGAATATTAATTACGATACCTGAAAAATACATAAACCCTTACATAAACTTATACTATAACACAAATTCATAACAGTCAGTAAGACGTGCTCGCATTTGAGAAAATTAAAGTGAATAAAAATTGATGTAATGACAAATAATAAAGAAATTTTGTAATCGACAAAACAAAGTTCTATTCCACTTTTTAAATGCAAGTCTTCAGTATATTGAGGATATAAATGAATTATTAAGCATAGCATTTCACCAGCATTTGATTAAGACTTTTCATTTCAATGCTAGTTAAGTTTAAATTAAGCACTGAAAAGCTTATACCTCAATTAAGGTTTTAATTTTTGAAGTTTCTTCAATATTCGCGAAGTTAAACTTTTAGATTGACTTTCAAAAAAATAATTTGTTTCAAAATGTAACGGAAAATATTAATGATATAAAATTAGGCACTTCATAGCTTCATTTTGACAACTTTAACTTTTTATCGATTTTTAAGATTTTAAAAAATAACGAGTTTCAAAAATTTGAAATAAATGTTGAAAGATCAAGATTCAAAATTTTGAAACCCGTTTAAATTCAAAATTTTGAAAACCGATAAATATCAATTTTCAAAATCAAAATGACTTGTAGCGTCACAAAAAATGTGCTGATTATCGCAAATTATTGGCATGGAAAATGTTTTATCGAAAGCTTAAGTGAAAAATAATAATAATAAAAAAATTAGAATGAATTGCTTATAATTGGCGTGGAGGTGAAATTCGGTATTTATAGAGAAAATTATTTTTGTAAATGAGCACTTTGAATGCATAAAAAAATATCACTTAGTCGATCAAAATGTTGCTGGAAAATGGAAAATCTGAACTCTCAACAAGTGTTGTTCATTAATTCGCAATATTTTATAAAATTTCCCCCAACTTTCCGACAGTTGAGTAGTTCATGCTGTATTTAAACAAAGGTTAATGAATTATAAAGTTTTCCATTTTCTTAGTTCTATGTCCTTAACAAATATTTATCGAGTATGTATTAAAGCATCAATTTGAATTTTACAAGTAAGAGCACCACATCAAGTTCTTTATTTTTCTTGATCTATGTTAAACAGTGTCATAAATAAGCAAAGCGTTTCCATTCATCAATATCACAATTGTTCTTACACAAAATTCATTATCAATAACCATATACGTGCTCAGACGACGGCTGGCTAATTGAGCAGGAAAATAAATAATTTTAGTTTTATTATTTTTAATTGGAGCTGTAGAGTTGTCTATAATTCCAAAAGAAAAATCACTCTGCATTAAAATTTCAACAGAAAAATTAATAGCTCTATTTTGATTCAATGAACGTTTTTTATGGTTCCTTAAGCTTTGATGATGTTCAGCACTAATTGTATGAAAGTCATCAATGTTTTATGGACCATTAAATACATTCTTAATGCCTACTGACAGACAACAAAAGTTTCAAATTGGAAATAACCTTCAGTAGACATTGAGGATGTCATGGATTAGACACAAAATTGTATGAGGAACGAATCATGTACCACTAAATGCATTTTTTTTTTGTAATTTGAAACTGTTATGATTATAAATACTGATCAAGTTCAGACACATGAGCAAGAAATAATAAAAATAATGAAAATAAAAAGTTTCATTTAATTGATAAAAGATTACGCACACTAGTCTTATCATTAATTGACTGCACTAACGTATTTATCGGCTAAAGCTTATAAAGATATCAAGTATTCATAGACATCAGTCTTCATTAGTTCCTTAAGCATTCAACATCATTAAACGTTCTTTTATATAATTTACAATGAATTCAAAAATTCTTCAGGACAAAATCCAGGAGATTGAAAGTCACGAAATTGAGATGAGACTTTTAAAGAAGAACGAGAGCAAGTCTGACATGAGTTCTAGTGATGAGAAGGAAAAGTCTGCATTACAAAGCAACCAGTCAACAGTTTCACTTAAACATTATGATCAAGTAAGTTCTACTTGTTATATTTTACATATATCTACAGTCATGCTTTTAATTTCCACACAATCAAGCTACTATGTGACCTTCGTTGTCCTGGTTGCACAATGAGGCTTCAACCTCCAATTTATTTATGTTCATCAGGTCACAGTGTCTGCAGAGTTTGTCGTCTATCACTTTCGGAATGTCCCATGTGCTCACGAGACATGACAGATATGAGATCATACACGCTGGAACGTTTATCAGGAAAATTTCAATTTCCATGCAAGAATCTACGTAATGGATGTAATGTGAGGCTTCCTATGGAACTAATGAAATGGCATGAAGAGAAGTGCATTTATAAGAAGACGAGCTGCTTTATGGGAAAAGTTTGGCATGATTGTCATTGGGTTGGACGAGAAGATGAATGGCTTGAACATTGTAAGGATAAACATAATCAAAAGATATTGATGAAACAGGAAGAATTTGAAATTATGTGGAACTATGAGACATTGAAGGATAACTCTGGTCCGATTCTTGCTTATTATTTGATTCAAAATTACGGAGAAACTTTCAATTTATATCAGATCCATGAAGCTAAGCACGGTATTTTAATATTTTATTTTTAACGGATTTTAATTTTTGAATTTTAGGCACTCGTGCCAATTCAAATTATTCTAGCCGTTATCTAAAGAATTTTAATGATTTTTCTTATCAACATTTGTTTTTAATTTTATGATAGCAACTTTGACGTGGACAGTTATGCTAGCTGATTACAAAGAAACGTCATTAGATAAGCAACTGAATCCTGATTTGCCAAAGTTTTCATTCGAAATTGAATTCTACAACAGAAATGATCCACGATTTTTACTAATTCAACGCTTTCCAATCCATTTTGAGGATTCTGAGACTTTGCTTGATGATGGAAAGTGCTGTAAAGTGTCAATAAAGGACATCCAGAGATTTTTGGATGACGAGAAGAATTTGTTTTATAAAATTCGAATAATTTCATGCAAATTGAGAAAAGATCGTTGGGATGAATTAATTGAAAGAGCAAGAGACAGAATGTCTGGGAATCCTAATGATGCGAATTTTGCTTTTTTTGATGCCAGTGATATTGATAGTAATTTTGCTGATGATTTTAAGAGCCTTCCTGCATCATATTATTACAGAGATCGGGATGATGATTTATTAAGGCAGATTTTTCAACGAGAATTTCCAGACACAGCAGATGAATCCACACGTTTGTTGCAAAAACCACCGAGAAAATCTTTGGAAAATCGAAATAGCCAGAATTTGAGCAAACCAAAAGATCATGTAGGGAAATTAGATTGAAACTAGTCTTTAGTTTATATGCTGCATTTCAGCGTTTAAAAAGTATCCGAATTTTATTTTAATTAGTAAAATAAAAAGTGTGTAGAAATATGACATATCAAATTCATTTTCATTTCATGTTGTAGTCATCAGGATGGTACATTTCAGACAGTAGTCGATAGACATAATCAGGTGTAAAGCCGTTCCTAAAAAACACCAATACTAAGCTCAATAGATCAAAATAAATACATCAAATACTTACGTGCTTGATATGAACAAAGTGATCAACCTCGGTGGAACATAATCAAAGGCTGGACTGTAAGCCTTAACTTGTCTAGACACTTTTGTGTTGTAAGGTAAAACACTTTGTGTGCTGCCAACAAGATTGAATGCTTCTTGCTCATAGTTGAAAAGGAAAACAGGCGACATTTTAAACATCGGAACTAACACGATAACTGGAACTGAAAAATGTTTTGCTGCCAATGCGACCGTAAAAGCACCGCTTGCGGCTCTTAAACCACCTTAAAAATAAATGTTAGTATAAAGAAGAATAGTATATTAAGGAAAGGAGAATTTACCGTTAGCAAGTACGCTGTGTGTTCCTATAATGACCTTATTGACTCTACTCATGTACGCATATATTGCTGAATCAGGAATTACAGTCGAATCAATTTTAGAGTGTGCAAGAGAATTAGCTAACATATGACCACGACAAGCTGGAGCACATTCAGCAATGACAACTTCAAACTTTCGTTCTTTCGGCACAGATTTAAGGAATTTTTCGACACTTTTCGAGTATCCTAAAGTAAGGATCAATTCAGCAGAGTGAACATGTTGAGATGCTTGCTGAGCAAGATTATCGTGACTTAAATGTAATTCATTTTCGATTTCCTGAAGATGATTAATAAGGTTTTCACGCAGATCAATATGTAATTGCGAGTAATCTGATTTTGAGGGTGTATTTTCACTATTTTGTGTGACCAATTTCTGTAATGATGCAGCTTGAGAATCATCTTGTTGTTTATTTTGTTCTGGCATATTCAGTTCATCATACTCTTCACGAATGATTTTTAATAGTCTACGTGCTACATTCGCCAAAATTGCTTCTGTTGGCAATGCATTTTCTACGATTTTCCCAGATTCTCTTACAATTGTCATCAACTCATCAGCTGTTGTCCATTTACTTTCATTGATTATATTAAGGAGAAAGTTGAGCATTGCCTGCGAAATTGAGTATGATCCAACAATTTTGCTGTAATGAGCATGCAATTTGTATAAATTTTATGAAATCTTTGATTTTACTCGAGATTATTTATGTAACTTACCCGACTTTGACATCATGAATAAGTTCAGCCAATTTAGCTGTGAAATATATGTTGCCACTGACCATGATTGTATTATTATAACTAATGAAACGAGATAAAAGTAATTTTAAAATTCAATATTTTGATGAATTTTAGTTCCCCGTCCCTTTGATACTTCCACGTTTATTTTGAGGGTATATCATATTTTACCTGACATATTTTTGCTCATTTTTAAAAGTTTCTGACTCTTGTAAATTAAACAGTCATTAAATGAACATCAAACATCTCCCAAAACAACCATAAAGTTAATAAAATTAACCGAAAATCATCAAAAATTAACGGAAGAATGTTATTTGAACATATTTTTGACAGCCTGACAAATTAGAGCCAAAGACAACTGGAAATAAAATTATTCAAAATAAGCTAATTTTCTGTTTTTTTTCTCAAAATGATTTAATTAAAAATTCAGAGCTTATTTTATAAATTAATAACTTAAAACACGTTTAATAGGTATATAAGGATAAGAGATACAGCAAAAACATGCATATTAAGCAGGTGAATATGAATTTCATAGCAAAATTTGCAAAATAAAAATTTCGCCCAAAAAATAGCGTCATTCGAACAATTTCACAATGTTTTTATTATTTTTAAGGTCATTATTCATGGTTTTAAGTCATATCGGGAGCAAACAGTCGTCGATCCTTTCCATAAAAAGCATAATGTGGTGGTTGGAAGAAACGGAAGTGGAAAATCAAATTTTTTCTCTGCAATCCAGTTTGTTCTTAGTGATGAATTTACTCATTTACGTCCAGAACAGCGTCAAAATCTCCTACATGAAGGTGTTGGTCAAAGACTTGGATCTGCTTACGTAGAAATCATATTTGACAACTCAGATAATCGAGTTCCAATCGATAAAGAAGAAATTTCATTAAAAAGAGTTATTGGAGCTAAAAAGGATCAATATTTTCTTAATAAAAAGAATGTTCCAAGATCAGAAGTCGTTAACTTATTGGAATCTGCCGGATTTTCCAATTCGAATCCATACTATATTGTCAAACAAGGTAAAATCAATCAAATGGCAACAGCTCCAGATGCACATCGTCTTAAATTGTTAAGAGAAGTAGCAGGAACAAGAGTTTATGACGAACGAAAGGAAGAATCAAAGAATATTCTTAAAGATACTGACTCAAAAGTTGAAAAAATAACAGAATTCCTTAAAACAATCGAAGAAAGATTGAAAACTTTAGAAGAAGAAAAAGAGGAATTAAAAGAATATCAGAAATGGGACAAACTTCGTCGTATGCTTGAATATATAATCTACGAGACAGAATTGAAAGATAATCGAAAACAGCTTGAAGAGCTTGAAAATCATCGCAAAAATTCTGGAGATCAACAGAAAAAGTTAACAAATGAGATCCAGAAACTACAAGATAAGATCAAAAACATCCAAAAGAATTTAAAAGATGCAAAAAAGGATGTTACAACTGCTAAAGAAGAACGTTCAGTCTTGAATGCAGAACAGCAACAATTGTTGAGGGAAAAGACCAAATTAGATCTTACAATAAATGATTTAAATGATGAAGTGCAAGGAGATAACAAGTCAAAAGAAAGGGCTGAACAAGAACTAAAACGTCTAGAATTGACAATTGCTGAAAAAGAGAAGGAATTGAAGCAAATTAAGCCACAATATGAAGAAATGAAAAAGAAGGAAGAGGAATATAGCCGAGAACTTGCAGTTAAAGATCAAAAGCGTAAAGAATTGTATGCAAAACAAGGTCGTGGATCTCAATTTTCATCTCGAGAAGAGCGTGACAAATGGATTCAAAATGAATTAAAGTCACTTGCAAAACAAATAAAGGATAAAATTTCACATCAGAATAAATTGACAGAAGATTTGAAACGCGATGCTGTAAAGCAACAGGAACTTGAAAAGAAAATTGAAGATTCAGCTGGTGGAATGGATCAATTGAGACAACAGATTGATGAACATAATAAAAATTTCTATGAGCTTAAAAAGAAAAAGGATCATGAACAAAGTATTCGTAATGATTTATGGAGGCAAGAAACTCAATTGACACAAACTCTATCGTCTCATAAAGAAGAACTATCAAAAGCTGATCAAGCACTTCGTTCTATGGCTGGAAAGCCAATTTTAAATGGTCGAGATTCAGTCCGTAAAGTACTCGACATGTTTAGAGAACGTGGCGGTGATTATGGTAAAATTGCAAATTCATATTATGGACCAGTCATTGAGAATTTCAATTGTGACAAGACAATTTATACAGCAGTAGAAGTAACAGCTGGAAATCGTTTATTTCATCATATTGTTGAGTCAGATCGTGTCGGTACACAAATATTGAAGGAAATGAATAAGCAAAAATTGCCCGGTGAAGTCACATTTATGCCATTAAATCGTCTCCAATTTAAAATTCACGATTATCCAGACAATAATGATTCAATTCCAATGATCAGTAAATTAAAGTATGAGGAGAAGTATGATAAGGCATTAAGATACATTTTTGGCAAGACTCTTATTTGCCGTAATCTTGAACGAGCCACAGAACTTGCAAAAACAACTGGACTTGATTGTGTAACATTAGAAGGAGATCAAGTTTCATCTAAAGGATGCTTAACTGGTGGTTTCTTCAACACATCAAGATCACGTTTAGAGATGCAAAAGAAGCGATCAGAATATATGCAAATGATTCAAGACTTTGAAGATCAATTACACGAGATTCGTACAAAATTGAAGGCAATAGAAGTGAAAATTAATGAAGTTGTCAGTGAAATGCAAAAAACAGAGACAAAATTGGGAAAGTCTAAAGATGCGTTTGAAAAAGTCCAAGCTGATATTCGATTAATGAAAGAGGAACTGACAAGAATCGAGCGATTCCGATCACCAAAAGAAAAATCTTTGGCACAATGCAAATCAAGTTTAGAGGCAATGAATACAACAAAATCTGGATTAGAAAGTGAATTGCATCAAGAATTAATGGCACAATTATCCGTACAAGATCAACAGGAAGTTGATCAACTTAATGATGATATTCGTCGATTAAATCAAGAAAATAAGGCAGCATTTAGCTCGAGGATGAGTTTGGAAGTGACAAAAAATAAACTCGAAAATTTATTGACAAATAATTTGATAAGACGACGTGATGAGCTGCAACAAGCTTTACAGGAAATTTCTGTTGAAGACCGAAAACGTCAATTGAATAACTGCCAAAATGATCTGACAAATGTGATCGAGAGAATAAAGAAAGTAAATACAGATCTTGAGGAAATGGATCGAAAATATGACAAAGCTGCTAAAGCACAAAAGTCACTGCAAAAGGATGTGGAAGGACTTGTACAAAAGGAAAAGGATTTACAAGATAAAATCGACCAAGACTCGAAATTGACGGAAAAGTGGGCAGCAAAAGAGAATTTATTTCATCAAAAAATTGATGAATGCTCTGAGAAAATTGCTAATCTTGGTGCTTTACCGCAAGTTGAGCCACAATATACGAAAATGTCACTAAAGAAGGTAAGCAGGATTTAATATATTAATCCATCAGATTTATTTGTAATCCATCGGTTTTATTTTTTAATCAAAAGCTATTTCAAGAGCTCGAAAAAGCCAATCATCATTTGAAGAAGTATAATCATGTAAATAAGAAGGCTTTAGATCAATTTTTGAGTTTCTCGGAGCAGAAAGAGAAGCTTTATAAACGAAAGGAAGAATTGGACATTGGAAGTGAGAAGATTAAGTAAGTATAGCACATTATAAAGTCACTAGAATAAAATTACTAAGAATTATTTTGAAATCTACAGAGAACTAATGCATAGTCTGGAGATGCGTAAAGTTGAGGCAATTCAGAACACATTCAGACAAGTGGCAACAAATTTTACAAAAGTATTCAAGAAGTTGGTTCCTCATGGAAGTGGACACTTAGTATTACGTACATTAAATGATCATGACGATATAAAAGGTAATCTGGAAGTTTCAACGTCTGATGATTTCACTGGAATCGGAATTCGTGTGTCATTCACTGGAAGTGACTCGGAAATGAGAGAAATGAATCAATTGAGTGGTGGACAAAAGTCACTTGTTGCTTTAGCATTAATCTTTGCCATCCAAAAATGCGATCCAGCTCCATTCTATTTGTTTGATGAAATTGATCAAGCACTTGATGCACAGCATCGAAAAGCTGTTGCTGATATGATTCATGAATTGAGTGACAATGCTCAATTTATTACGACAACCTTCAGACCAGAACTGCTAGAAAAAGCACATAAGTTTTATGGAGTTCGTTTCCGAAACAAAGTAAGTCACGTCGATTGTGTGACTCGAGAAGTTGCAAGAGATTTCGTAGAAGATGACACAACTCATGGTTAAGGTTTTCTTGCTTTATTAAATTTCATTTAAAATTATTAACTTACAAGAACCATGAAACCTGAATAACTAATATTAGCTTGTAGATGAGATTTTATAATTTTATTCACCTGTAAATTAATTCATCTTAATTAATAAAAATACCTAAATACATGTATTGTGTATCTTGACTTTATTGTTGCTTAATTTGCAGAAAACATTTAAATACCTTTCCAAAATTAACGGTTATCAAAAATTCAAAATTCTCAAATTGAAAACAAACAGAAACGTTTAAACCGCAAAAAAATAAATTTATTAATTTTCTACATGATTTAAGCAAGATAGTTTAATTAAAGACACAAAAATGGAAGGTTCAACATCAAAGAAGAAGCAAAATGGCAAAGGTGAGATCAATCAATTGCTCTTATTTCCATAAATTATGAAATTAAAATTCTCAATAATTTCAGTAAAAATCAAGAATGATTTTAAGTACGGAAACTATCGGAACTACTATTTTAAACGATTAGGAGCAGGCAATGATCAGCCAGATCTAAGAATTGAGCTTATGAAACAATATCCAGAATGCTTTAAAGACAAACAAGTGCTTGATATTGGCTGTAATTCAGGATTGATCACAATAAACATTACAAAATCCTTACTTCCAAAAACAGTCTTAGGAATCGACATTGATGGAAATCTAATAGATGCAGCTAGAAAGAATTTACTGAGACAAAAGACTGACTTTTCATTAGCAGAAAATGAGATTTTATGCCTGAACAAAGTTATTTTTAGAAAAGTAAGTTAAATTAACATCCAGCCATTAGTAAAAGTTTATTAATCAATGTTTTACTTACAGGCTAATTACATTCTAACAGATAGATCATTAGTTGAACTCGAGAAACCTCAGTATGATGTGATTTTATGCTTGTCAGTTACAAAATGGATTCATTTAAATTACGGTGACGACGGCATCAAGTTCTTATTCAAGAGGATATTTAAACAATTGAGACACAATGGCATTTTAATCTTAGAATCTCAGCCATTCAATGGATATAAAAAGAGGAGCAAGTTAAGTTTAGAAATATTGCAGAATTACAAAAGTATTGTATTAAAGCCTGAACAATTTGAGGCTTATCTATTGAGTGACGAAATAGGATTTGCAGAAAGCTGGTGCATGACAGATAGTGAAATACTAAAGAATAGTAATTTAGCTAAAGGATTTCATCGTCCACTGCAAGTTTTTGTAAAAAGTTAATAAAGTATTTTATTCTTAATATGAAAAGCTCTATGCTGTATAAAATATCCACAACATGTGCTAGTTGGTGATAAGAATTTCACTCTCACAAAAAAAGCTTTCCATTCAGATAATAATTCTCACTGGAAATCATCAATTGTCTCTCAGAGAGGAACTGTGGATACATGATACAGAAAATATATTTGGAATGATTATTTGAAATGCAAATGAATTATAATGAAGATAAACAATGAACCAATTATCAGAAAAATATTTTGCTCCCATTCCTCTCCTATCTAGACCAATTAAAATGCTGTGAATATACAATGATTTTTCTTCCTACATTTAAAATTGAATAATTTCTCTCAAATGGTACAATATAATTTTCATTTATGCTTCGTGCTTTAATTTATGACATTTTCTGTGTCCTATTAAAACAATAATAGGGAATTTAATATTTTCGGGCAATAAATGTTATTTCTACTGGAGGAAATTGTGAAATATGCTGCGGAAATGAACAGTTTGAGCGTGCTTTTTGTGCCTGTGTGGATGAGAGTTGATTGAATTTTAACGGTTATTTGAAATGTTAATTTATAACGATTTTCTAAAATTTGAAATTTACATGCAAAAGTTTGTGGTTTATTTAAAAAAACTAGAACCCGTTAAAATTTTAATATTTTTCAGTTTAATGAAATTCATTACGTTGCACAAAAAACTCTTAAAAGAACCCCATAAAAGCTTCATTATAAAAATAATACGCATTTTCCACTTTCAATAACTCTACAAAGCTACAAACTTTAATTAATAAATTTTTGATAACTATTTTATAGAGCACACAACGTTGAATGCATTCTTTTTTTTCTATATAGAATACACATCGGTGCTATCGAACAATATAAAAATATATCCGCTTTCATGTTATCAACACGAGAGCACTATAGTCGTTGTCTGTCATAAAAAAAAAAGTTCAAACCATCCACTGCAGCATCATGCTTACATCTATATATGTGTGTCATATTTGAAAGTATGCAGCTAGCTCAACACCTGAACTTCAAAAAGGCTGCAACAATAGGCAATAAATATTTTTTATTCATCCTCATTTCATTTTATTATTAAAAAAAAAATGAGGAAAACAGGATCTAACGCATTGAACAGCTATTGAAGTTTGGAAGGATGAAGCATAAATTTTCAGCTGTATATTCTTCGAGAATGATTTAGACGTAGGTTCAATTTTCTTCTATTATTGACTTACTTCTGATGAGGCAGACGAATGCTCTTGACCTAATTATCAATTCCTCTTCAAATTCAGCTATGAAGCTATTTATTTCATTTACTGCCTATACATCTTCTAAGCCACAATTCTGTATAAATGGCACTAAATATGAACATGAGCTTCGTTCATAAATGCGTTGTTGAAATTCATCAATCAATAATTCATGAGGAAATTTAGTCGATGATTCTTTCATATCCTTCATATTCCTATATTTCATGAGAATCTTTGCCATGTGATTCTATACCTTTGTTTGCACTTTTCAATATTTTAAATCAAATGGAGCTTAAATGATTGGAAATGTGTAGATTACAATTTTATCAAATGGATGTGTGCATGCATGGAACAAGAGGAAAATGAGAAGAGATGTAGAAGCAAATAATAACTGAAATTACACTTTAGGTACATCAAATGATTTGTTGGCATTAATTTCATAGGAAGCATAATGGGATTTTGAAGATTAAAGGAAAGCTATAATTTGAGACTTGATTGCTGCTTTGATTTCCTTTCTTTGTGCAAATTTGTCAAGGCAGGAGCTAAAATGTAAAAACGTCATCTTATTAATTTAAGAATTTTAAAGCATAAATACATCTTGTTGCTGATTTCCTTGTTAACATTTTAATAAGCAATTTTCCGCACAGTCAACCTGTCAAATACCATTTCCTTAAATATCTCAAAAATGTTTATTCCTGATAATGTGCTATAAGAATTTGATATCTTGCGTGTAAATAAGAATTTCAAAGAATACGATATGGATAGACTATAATTATCACAACCTGCCAGAAATATTGGAATGGGAAACAAAAAGGCGTACATATCAACAAATAAACAATACACGTGTTTCTTGTGCTGTAGATGAACTTAATCGCTAATTTAATATGAAATCGTATAAGGTTCCGTTCACAAATGACGTCCAACATTTAGTCTAGTTTTGTGACGGTTTTTATATAAAATAAATTTTTTCTTCAAACAAATTTTGTGTCGTTTCTTGGATGGACGTCATTTATAAACAATGCCACAAAAAATACTTGTAAGCTATGAGCTGTGATAGAGATGTAAATCAAATTACAGTTGGGGGTTAAAAGAATACAATCAGCTCAGAAAATATGTTACAGATGTGGCTACAATGTAATGAAGGAGTAAAGTAATGCTGGGAGGGAATTATTACAAACGCGAGATATTTTTTTCATAACATAGAAAATGTTTTGCAAAACTAGCAGCTCCTATGGTTATGTTCAGGGGATCAAGCATAATTGATGTTGTAGATGAATAGGAATGGAACTTCATTCGTTTTGACTGACTTAATGCTAATGTCTTTTTTGAACACTTGTTTTTCAAAAATATTCATGCTTGCCTTAATTTGACAGGCAAAGCGCCTTAGTCACATCCATAAACAATAATTTTCGTCATCAAACTTACTCTCTATGAGACAAAGTAGACATAAGATAGGTCGCCCATTAATTTACATGGTTTGTAACTCATGGAAATTAAATCCCCCGCTAGTATTCAGTCTTCCCTGCCTTTACCTTCAAAAACATTAAAATTGTGGATGGAGCGAACGCTAAAACATACCAAACTCGGTGAAATGAAAATTTTCATGCTGACAAGAGAGATACAAGCAGCGGTAAATGGAATGAATAGTAAGGGGAAGAAATGAAGCCAACAACAATAACAAATTTTGAGAGGATTAGAGGGTAGGAAGATATAGAGAGAGACTTTTTTTTATGTTTTAACAACATGGCTTAATTTAATTTCAGTTTTTGGACATTATTTGGAAAAGATACACTCACCATGACCATGCAACCTTGTTACATCTCTTTCTTCTTACGTCTTATTATATTATTATTTTTACATAAATTTATTTAGCTGAGGGATTTGTGTATATGAAAGATGCTGTGGACTAGCTGCATGGATGAATCTTCAAAAATTTGAAATGTTTCGTGGAAATTTAGAAGGTTTTCGAGATACTAGTTAAGGTATCCACAAATATACATCTAGAACCTAAAATCATACATGTTCCAAACATCTTTTCCAGTCTAAGATCTCTTTCTAAAGAATAAGAAGCACATAAATAAAAGAAAATCGAATTTTTTAGATGAAAAGACAGAAACTGGTTGTTGCTATTTCTCATATTACTAAAGCTGTTGTTGTATTAAGGTAAAGACGTAAATAAATACAGTATAAACTACATGCTCAATTTTCCTACAAGAATATCGTACAGAAAGGAAACATGAAAGATATAAGTGAATTTTTTTGAAAGAAAAAGGAGAGAATATACAAGAATCCTTGAATTATGGAAGTAGATCCCTATTTCTCATTATACAATCGAGTTGAGTTTTCTTTCAGCACAAACAAGCTTCCTTTAAAAATAATCCGTAATTGTGCAGGAAATGCAGAATGATTTTACATCCTCTACCCAAATGTGTACTGCAGAGTCTATAAAATGGAGTAAAATGCGTTTCAATATCCAATATATTTTATTATTGCCATGTTGATACCCGTTTAGAACTCATAAGCCATGACTTTAGCTAGTTCGTAATAAGAAGAAAAAATAAAGACGTGTAAGGAAGTGATTGCATGCACATATATGCAAGTAAAACGTTACCATCGTTTTTATGATCCTCATTCTCTCGCAGTGACTCGATATTAAATGTTATCTCGGAAGCATGAGCACGAATGGTACGGGAAATTCTATTAAAATTTTTATGAATGCTGGTGCAAATAAAAAATAAGACTAAATGTCTGGAAAAAGGTTTCCTTTACTACTACCGAGACGGCTGTGCTTATGTTCTCATTCGTCGTATCTTACCCTTAAGAACAAGTAATAAAATGGTCAGTTTATGCTGCTCATTCTTTTCGTAAAGTCATTTTCCCCTCACTGACTTTAACGTCTTTTGCTGCTTCAGATGTGATTTTATTGGAAATTATTGAAAGTAGCCAGTCATTCAGTGATGTGGATCAACTTTAAAGGGCTTTAAGAGGAAGTCAGTACGCTTATATCCAACTTATGTCATCCTTAAATTCGTGAAATCATAAAATACTTTAAAAAATAAATATAAAGGAACAAGAATGATAAAATAATTGACATAATGGATTTTTCTTTTCCTGCGAAATCCTTAATTACTTCATTCATCCTCAATTCATTGTGTCAGATGTTTTCATTCATAAAATAATGAAATGATTTTGTCCATTTTTCTGTGTACAAGTGTCATTCCTGCAATCATTACTACCACAAAAGATTGATGAATGGCTGTTGGTTTATTTTTCACGTACATCCATTCATTGTGTCATTATGTGTGGGCTGTTTTATGCTGCCACCTTCGTTTATTGTAAATAAAATCTATAAATGATCCAAAATTAATTGAATTCGAGGAGTAAAAATATTTTTAATATGTCAGAGTTATTGCTTAGTACGAGATTTGAGGTTCGTCGATTATGGCAATCAATTCAGGAACCTATGGAAATAATCCTTAAATAAGATTATAGACTTAATTTTTATTCAAAACCTATCCTCAACATCCATCGCTGTGTTGCTATCATTTTCAAAATAGTATAAATCCTTATGATTGTCAAGTACAGCAGTCAAAGTGGCAAACAATCCATAAAAATCATAGACATAATCACCATTATAATAATGTGCGGTTAGTGCGTAGGTGAAGATTGGTAAACCATATTTAATGAATTCGTTGTGGCCAACATTAAATTAAATTATGTTTTAATGCTTACGGGAAAAGCACATTGATATGTATGTAATTTCATACGTGATGTGTCATTGACGTGCAAAAAATAAACCAAAAAAAAAACTAAAGTCGTTTTAGAAGCTGTATTCTCAATTAATTCGACTTATAAGGAGTTTTGGACACATGATGACTTTTTTATGGCCTCAGCTTGCTTCAAAAGACATAATTTTTGATTTCCTGACAATATAACTGAACATTGAAAAGAATGTATATGCTGCCTTTGGCTAAATGTCGATATGAAAGAGGAAGTACCAAAATCCAATGAATGTTAACATGAAGATATCCTTATTACATCATAATATTCATCCACAGCTTCAAAAACCATAAATTTCAATTAAAGTGGTTGGCAACGGACCACTTGAAATTAATTTCCATTAAGATTATCAATATTAAGGCAAAAAAATAGTTGAACTGTGTATGATACCGAACTAATGTTCTCCCAAACTTAATACTGATTGAAAATTGTTAGTGGGAATGTGCTGATAATACAAATTACGACCTCAAACCGCAAATCTGTTCAAAAGCAGATTCTTTGCCTTTAGAAATAAAGCCAAAATATCAAAAACAATTTTCATTTAAAGCGAAAATCAAGCAAATTTTATGAGCCATGCTTTAAAGTGTGCATCACCATGGAATTTATTATATTTTGAACCTCCATAAAACTCAACATTTAGATGATAAGGAGTGAACAAAACATCTGCATTAAGACTGATAACAATAATTTCTAATTTACTTGTAATCCTCCTTTGCCACAGAAAATATGAAAAGTGAGGATATAACATTATGAATTATGAATTACAAGATGTGGATGAAAAATGTTAAGGAGAAGATGTCAATGCAATAACTTTTAATATTTGATAATTTTTTCAATATTACCATCAAAACGTCAATCGCATCAATTCTTGTTAAGTGATTTTTACTCTTTCGTATGCAATTTTCAAGTCTTGTAGATGAAGGAACAAGTTTTGGGATCAGTTTGACTGAAACAATATTTATGGAGAAGACAAATATATTTAAATAGCTTGATAGATTGAGATTGAGTGGTTGGTGAATGGTTTTTGCTACTTTTTTGATGCTGTTGGACTTAATGTTTAAGTACGAAAACTTATAAATTTGCTGAAATTTGTAATAAACTCTTCGAAGTGTAAACAAATTATTAGCGGAAAAAAAGTTAAATTCGTGAAAATTCGTCTGATCCTTTAAAGTTTTGAATTATACTGCATGCCAGGTAGTTTCTGCTACTTCTTTCAATCTTTTAGATTGCATCTTAAAGTCGATAAGTTTCTAATAATACTAATAACTACAAAACAAAATTTGAAGTGAGCAAAAAATTTCAAAGTTTTAAAAACAGTTAAAATTTCAATTTCTAAAAAAAAGCATTTCATTTATCTGCTCTGGAAGACTTTCTAACTTACCTTTTTCTCGTTGTCATAAATGTTTTTCTTACGGATTTCAGGCTTCGTTTAGCCTTCCCTTTTTTGCATAATAAAAAATAACATCATGATGCTGACAACCATGAAAATTTTATGTAGAAAAGAAAGAAGCAGGAAAGAAATATGAAGCTACGCACATTAGAAATGAACATTAAATATTAATGCTGAAAAGATTGTGACAATAAAGTATGAAAAACAGCAGTGTAAGAAACAATTTTTTATGATTTCTGTGTACTTTGATTCCATTCCTGCCACCCAAACTTCTCTTGTTTTACGCTTAAAAAAGGACTTTGTTGAATATTCTTTTTAAGCATCAAAGCCGTTTTTATCCATTTATACTTGCTTATATTCCATACACAAATACTTTTTTAAATCCATGATGATGTTGCTCTACATAACAACAATCTCTTCTTGACACATTTTCCCTGTAAAAAATTGATTACTTTTTTATTTTGACAGGCTAGTCTGTGCTTCTAAGGAATTCAAAAGGGGTTCTTTTTCACAGAATTCAAATGGCGTCAATCAAGTATTCGAGCTGAAATGATTAACGATATCCTTTTCGATATAGATGCACATTTAAGGAAGTTTACCTTTCATTGAATCTTTAATCGTATATTCAAGCGGTTCTTTGACTTTCTCAGAAGGACTTTGGGTTCAGGATTAAGAAATTCCTAATTTTTGAAACAATTCCTTTGTCATTGTTAAATGCTCCCAGAAGCTAAGGAACAGAATTTGTATCCAATTTCAAAGAATTGAGTCTGATTTTGATTACCTTGCAGAAAAAAATTCGCTACAGCATATTTATGGATATAAAAAATGTTGTTTACTTACTTTCAATGATACTGACAGTAACGGTAAGAGCAACAACAACGCTGCACGTTTCATGGCACATGATTTATTATATAAATTTGCAATTGCAATAAACGCGTCCTGGAGATTTTAAAGATTTTCTTTTTTGTCATGTATAATATTCATCAATTGTCAATTCTTTTCATTTTTGAGATGGGTTGTGAAGTTTTTTTGAAATTATAGAAAATGTCATGCTTACTGTTTCCTCTAAAGCGCCCTATTTAGAGTAACAGTTGCAGACGTTATGGATGCAAAATATCTAGAGGAAGACCAAAAAATACCTTGATTGGATGTGTTGATAAGGACGCTAGAGTCCTTAATATCCATAACTGGCAGCAGGTCTCGAAGGGTTGTCTTTAGACTATCTCTGAACTTGCGCCCCAGCCAAGGAAGTAAGTACAGCGCCCTATAATTTGAGATCTATTAAACTTTACTCATATTTATCAATCATTAATGCTCTTAAGAAGCTCAACTTAAGAACAAGCAGTGTTTCCTGTAAAACCTGAAGAGATAGAGTTCTAGTATGAAAGCATGCACATAGAAAAGAAGAATAAGAGCTTTTAGTATAAATTTCTCATATATTTCTCACATAACTTTTTTGAATAATATTTCAACAACACAAACATTCATAATATTTTGTTTTTTACTTCATCATTTCCATCTCTCATTTTTTTACTTCCTTTAAAATATGTAAGTAAATAAAATTTTTTCATATATATAATAATAATTTTTTATTACAGCAAAAATTCCATTAGTAGAAATTCTAAATTGTGAATTATATTCTCTTTGAATGATATGGATGAAATTTTTTCATATATATCTTTTTGATATTAAATTATTTACAATTTCCTTCAATTTATTCTTCTTGTTTTGTACATTTAGAAAATATTATTTTAGCTAAATAAATTTGTGTCTGTGTGTGATCATATAAAATTTATATTAAATGTAGTTTTTCCTTTTAATCTTTTTTTTTGTGTCCGCATCCATTTGATTTAATCTAGTGCTATTTTTATTTACCAAACACTACATTTGTTTGTGGGATTCATTTTACTTCCAACTGGGCAGCTGTCAATCGATAGAAAAAGGAAATAAAAAATGCATTAGTAAACACACATACTTGTCATATGGAGATTATGGCATACATAAAATACATAAAAATTAATCAAATATTTTTTTTTATTTCGATAATAAATTTGAAGGAAGTGCTTGAATATAGGGAATCAATTGCTATAGTGTTAGGCCGTTCAAAACTGATATAGAGTGGGAATGAAAAAAATTTGAAGGGGACAAGTTGACTGTATTTATACACAACTTTAATAACCTTAATATCAGCTTTAACAACCTTCAGATCCAAGGTTTCACATAAAATTTGACATGCTTTACTTATATCCGCAGTTAAACTATTCTCACAATCGTAAGCTCAATCTTCAATAAATGGCATACGTACTTGTAAGCAGCAGCAAAATCCTTCGAATTTGAGAGTGGTCCAATAACGCGTATTATTCCAGGCGAATGAACAGAACTGCGGATTTTTGTTAATGCATCCTCTGGTCTCATTGAGCCGCACCAGATTTGAGCGTAATTGAGAAAGAAAAGTTGATCGTGTGTAAGATTTAGACCCGGCAATCGTGGCTCTTCGCCATACATTGCAACCCATTTTTTATATGCTCGAAAACTCTGCTTTAAGCCACCATTATCGGCAATATTTTCTCCTATGTTATGTGAGGAATGAAAGAAGGACATCGAATGAATAAAAAATTCAAATGAGCTTTTTCCTGTTCGTTCCATTAATTTAACATTCAATGGATCTAACATGAAAATACATAAATTCATTTTGTAAAACTTCTATTGCTTACCTTGTGTCATTCTTCCATTCATGTACAAGCCAACTTCATCGATGCGATACCTTGAATATTGATCAATGATACACTGAGCACGTTCACGAAAGTTCTTAATTGTTGCATTATTCCACCATTGCATCATGTTTCCATCCTTATCAAATTGTCGACCCTTATCATCAAATCCATGTGTAATTTCTACATTGACCATTAATGGATACAATGAGGATGCATGTAAAGGCAAAATGAATTTTCATTAAAATAAAATGTCAGCAATATATCACAACAAAGCATGACCAGTTTGAGGCAAAAATGGCTTTTACTAGTCAATGAAGCTCAAAAAGTAAACAATGAAAAATTACCGTGACCAATAACGACACCAATTCCACCATAGTTGAGGGACTTTGGAAAATTCTGGCTATAAAACAATGGCTGTAGAATTCCAGCAGGAAAAACTAATGAAATTAAGGAAACAAAGATTGAGAATTTCAATAAATGCTGTTGTAAAGAAAGTAACTGCTGCAGTAAACCTACCGATATCATTTTTATTGGGATTATAAAAAGCATTAACTACAGCTGGCTCTGTTGACCATTTCTCTGCATAAAGACATGAAATGATATTAAAGTGAATGAGGAAAAATGCTTTAGGCTTTTGCGCTAGATAATTAAATTGTTGAACTGTTCATGGTAATTGTTAAACATTAAAGTGACTTTAAATCGGACTTGATTTTTCGTCTAGACATGAGTTTTTAGGATTGAAAGAATGAATCTGAAAACTTCCAATCTGGATTCTTAATCCAAATCTTTCTATACTCAATTATTTAAAGATTTATTAATTCCAAGATCCGAAAATTCTCCAAATTCATCTTATTTGTACTGATAATATCAGGATTTAAGAACATCACCAACAAACAATGTGAGGTTGCAGGGTTGCAGTTGCCAGGCAATCTGCAAATGTCTTCAAAATTTAACATTAAGCTTTAAAGAATCAAGATAAATCTAGCCTGTATCTAATTATTTCGCGACATTAAAATAAATTATTCAGAATGCAACCTACCTTTATCCACAGGCTTTCGAAGTAAATTTAAATTCCTCTGAGCATCCCATTTTAGAATGTAAAAGATATTATTCATAAAATGATTGTCTTCAATGGTAAGCTACGTAGATATAGACAAAGATATTCCAAAATCAACAAATTATCCATCATGATCCAATAATTTAATTAGGATGCTTACATTAACATATTCTTTCTTTAATTCCGTCCGATTTGTCAGAATTTCAGGATATCCTATCCTCTCATTCATCGCATCTGCTTTCTCCTTTGCCACCGCTCTTGTCTCATCGTCCATCCAATGAATGTCTGCGAGAAGCTCATTAAACGCTTCTCTTATTGTATGTATCATTTTTAATGCGACTTCTTTACTTTCGTGATTAAAGTTATCGCGAATGAAAAGCGCACCCACAGCCATACCAAGTTTCTTGTTAGTCCATTCTACGCATTGCGACCTATAATGTGTACGATAAATAGATTACATTTTTGTGCTAGATATAAATGGATAAATAAAATTGATAGGTGTGTGCCGCATAGACATAATTGAATTATCTCAATCTTTCTCTATCTTTTTTCTTTTGCTGCTCGCTAGAGCTGGAAACATATTTTTTGCAGGTTTCGTTTAGTTGTCGCTCGACTGTTGACACTTGAAGAATTTTGATAAATTCATTATTCTATTAAACGTCACCTGCGAAGAAACCAAAAGCCCAAAAAGCACCTTAAAAAAATTTCTGCTAAAATGCTTTCATGTTTCCTTCAAATTTTGTTACTTTTCATGATTTAATTCACATAATCATGCCTATTCCATTGTAAAAGTTTCCAACTCTAGAACAACCTTCTTGCTTCTCGCTTCTTCCTTTTCATTCAATTCTCATTCAACCATACATAAATCTGACACATAAACGCATAAAGAAAGAAATACTCTCACTCAGCAATGATATAGACTTACCATCTATGCCTTTCCGATTGAATGCCTAATAAAATTTTCCTAAATTCGACACGTTCCCTCTGATAGTCATCGATCATATGAGTCATAATAGACATTACCTGTTAAAGATGATTTAATTTATTGTGAGAAAGAATGCTTGAAATAGGAATGTTGGATGTCTAATGGCAGTATTGGGAAAATGGAAAATTTGAGTTATTTATGCCAATTAAGGTAGACATGAGAGTCAAAAGGGTCAAATGAGAAATGTTCAATTCATTTTAGGGGTCAAGTAGGTCAAGTTGGTGCTTTGATTACGTCAACAAAATAAATTATGGGAATTAAATCCACAATCTTGATAGATGTTCAATGGATGTAAGACTTATTGACGTAATTACAGATCTATTAAGTTTTTATCTCAAACTTACCAGTCTCCACATCATGTAATTATGAATAATTCGACGATCTGTTGTATTTAAAATTTTTCCCATCTGAATAAGATATGACATGGCATAGCTCACAACCTCTTCATTAGCATTTAAATCAACATCGCCGAGTGTTGCTTGCAAATAATCACGCCAATTTAATTGTGGGATTTCTCGTTGCAATTCGGCCATAGTTAATTTGCGATAAATTGCTGATGTATCATGTCTATCTACTTCGGGGAGTGACGCCTTTTATGTGAATAAATTAAAGAGATTGTGGAAAAATTGGCTATTGAATGAGAGCGCAGAACACAATTTTTATAATGCTTACATTTGCTAATTTCTTCTCAAACATTACGACATGTTCCAATTCTTTCGCTGCACTTTCTGCATTTGCTCCCAGTAGTATAGCAGTTTGTGTCATGTAACGATGGTAAGCTTTCAAGTCACCTTCACTGCTTGTTTTTAAATAGTAATCTCGACTTGGCAATGCCAAAACTAGCTGATCCAGCTGTAAATGGAAAGATGAAAAAATGAGATAATAAATCAAATGGATGTTACAATCTATTTATGGCTATGGAATGGGGAATAAGGAAACAAAATTGGGTGGACATGAACTTAACGTACTTGAAGAATATTGATGGAAGAATTTTTATCATCAGCTCCAACATAAAGCTCTATTAATACTGGTTCACTATATTCACCGCGTAATTTTCCCATGAGTAGCTCAATACTCATGTTCGGTGGTTTCCAATTCGGTTCAATCACTGGCCAACCGCCTAATTTCTTAAGTATATCTCTAAGTGGTTGATCCCCAATCTTACGAATCTCATCTACATTTAATTATACGAGACATAGAAAAAGATAAATGGGAAAAAAGAGAGGATTAAAAATGAATATCCATCATGTGGCATGTACAGGCAAGAAGATATACTTACGTAGATCCATACAGCTTTTATAAAAGGTTTTTGCCTTAATCGTAGCTTCATTATCTTTATTGTCAATTGATTCCTCAAGAAGTCCTTTCAATATAACCTGTTGCTGATCTGCTAATACCTTAAGCAAATACAGTTCAAGTATAGAAATACAGAGAAAGAAGAGAGACAGAAGAATAAAATATGGAAATATGAAAAATTTACTGTCTCTCATTATTCTCGGTATTTGCATGTTGATATTTGTATTCTGTCAAGATTAAGTAAATTTTCTGTTCCTTTCTTCCATTCTTCTATTCATCAAGTGAAGCTTAAGAATCTCAATTCAACAAGCAAATCGACTAAAAGACATAAAGCTCTTCTTTTTTTTTTACATAAGGAAACATCATTAACGGTTTTATGTCGTTTATGCTTATTGGAATGTATACATTGAAAGAAAAGACTAACAATTTCCTCAGTTCAGCACATTACTCGAGATGAAATGCTGCATTAAGTCTAAATTTGACTAGATGTTTATAAGTGAATGATTTAGGATTAAAAGGAACTCTTGTAGATTGGCAAATTGTTGTCTCTAAATTCGCAAATTTACAAGGCAGTCGTTTAAAATGCGTTCTAAAGCTTGACTTTAAAATATCTTAAGGATGAGCGTAAAAATCTTTGAGTTTGTGAATGAGACGAAGGAGAAGGAGCAACTAAACGCCAAGAGAGAGAGGATGTAATGTGAATTAATTTTCCATAAATCATCATGAATGTGACAGCATATAAAAAGAACATTATCCGTTAACATCGTATAGTAAAAAAGCATTGAATTTTTCTCTATTAAAAGATGGATTAAGACGTTTTACATTGCTGTCGACATCGTTATGCGATGTGCATTCAATCTTATTTCCCTTGACGAAATTTTCATCATAATTTCCGCGAAGGAATGTAAAATCATTTTTTGGAGCTTATCAAGGAGGATGTTGATCAGATAAGAGATAAATTGCTTCATAACTGATTCTGATGGATCTTACTGATTTACAGATTGAAATTTTTGAGGTTAAGGTCAATCTGACAAGATTAAAGCAAAGGATTTACTGTTTGTTCATGATTCACTCATTCATTGAAATGTTTATGTTTAAGCATGTATTCACTCTGTTGCATTTTTATGGTAATTTAATATTTTGTTTCTCGTTAAGTTTTTATCTTCTTCAGTTCACTCGCACTCTTTCCCTCTGACAGGGTGGAACGACTTCATCCTACATTTAAGACAATCTTGGATGAATGCTGCATTTAAAGCAAATTTCTAAGCGAAAATTAATTCACAGAATCTCATTTAATTTAAGAATGTGCTTGTAAATAAATCAATCCGTCCGTAACATCAAAGGAAGATGACAATAAATCTCGATTACATCCTTCTTTATGACATTCTATCATACGATTCATAAGAAAAAGCTTCACTTATGATTTAAGAGCATGTACGTCATAAAATATAACTTTAGACATTCATTGAAGCATGAAACTGTGCATGTACTTAGGAGAAAGGGCTTGGAATTGTTACTTCCTTAATAGAATTTGCATACGTTCTTAAAACTTTATCTTCTTCTGTAAAATTTTCTGAATACATCCTTGGATGTTGCTAACGCAAGTTAGTCGTCTTAATGACGAAACATCATATGCATACTTACTTCAAAAGTACTAATACTTGAACGATCCTCGGGTATCACATGTTTTTTGTTCCATGTTCCACATGCATAATTAAAAAAGTCTGTACAAGGATCATGTGACTGATCCATAGCTGCTAAAAGCGATGAGGCTGGAGGAGAATGAAGAAAGTATACATTAGAAAGATAGTGGATAGAATAAAGCAGGTGCTTTAATTAGAAACTTTTCTCATCATATTTCGAAGAAGAAAAAAATGGAATTGAGCTAAAAACTTTTTCATCTTAAAGACAATCTATTTTTATTTCTCAAATAGAAGTGCCAAACTCAGAGTTGGATGTGCTCCGGTAAAAGTCACAATAATGACTTAGCATTCAGTCTATATCCAACAACTCTGAAGACGATGAGAAAGTTTTCAATTCTACTTTGGTAAAAGAAAAGGAAGTTGATTAAAGCGAGAATAGAAACTTACCAGTTCTGACGCATTCTTCAGTTAAACAAATGTTTGGTTTCTGTTTCTCTGTAAATGAAAAAGAAGTCAGTACACAGGAGAAAAATGAAATTAAATGGATATTAGAAAATAATGCTTCTCACATATTGTTCATGTCATGAAATAAAGTTATTAAATGTGACGACATTAAGTAAATAAGCGACATCAGCTACAACAGTGGCAGTCACACAGAAAACAATAAAAAAAATTCTCAGTTTTAATTAAAAAGTTTTTGGCGCTGGTTTTTGTACAAGATAATGCTTTGTTGCTGCATTATGTCAGGTATGTTTGGCTGTGACTGTCTTAAGCAGCTATAAAGTTTGAAATAGACAAATTTCATGCATTGAACTATTAAAATAGAGTAAATCCCTCAATAGTTTAGGACAGCAGTGCTTTAATTTTGTATCAACATGCACTTCTGACTATAAATGCGCTCTATAAATTCATGAACATCCAGCGATAACCTCGTTTCCCCTACTAGTTTTGATAAGCTCGAGCAAACGAAGAGAGCAGTCAGAAGAAATTTGAACGAGTCAAAAACTTTCATTTCTGTGATGCTGAGTGTCGCTTTAGCTACCGTAATACGTGAAGTTAAGGGTTAAAATAATGAAACAATACTCGACAAATTTTCGGTTTTCTCCCCCAAAAAAGCATAAAATTTTATGAGCACCACAATTAATTATGAGAAAATGTATAATAGCTTAAAAGTTATTACGATTAATGAAGATGCTCATTATCCTTTATTTTTATTATATTCGTGCATTAAACTTGTATTCATGAATGTGTGACAACTTGCGGAAATAAGTCGAGAGATGGGACAATTACTTATTTTCCTCACTCAAAAAAGAGATTTTTTTTTCTGTTCCTTTTTCAATGACCCTTAACGTGATCTTGCAAAAGGCAAAGACAGAACTTTTCAGGAGAATGAAAATTGTTTCATAATAGCTTTTGTTGTTCTACATTTTAAGCTGTTTTGTTTTGTCATGAATTTCATTTTGGTTAATTTAATGAGCTTAAACATAGTAAAGTGAAAAACTTTGAAGGCTTTTCTTCTAACAACCACAAATATTTTCATAGCCACAATAATCCTGATCAATGTCACGTGCACATGATAAATTTGATTTAAACGGTGAATAATTTTCCATTGTTTTTTGTTTTTTCTGTTGTTTGACTTTAAGTTGTTGTAATAGAAATGATTATTAGAGCTAATCTTAAAGACAGAGTTGGAATCTGGATGTTGTCTGGGTTTCGTCATTGTCTTGGTTCTTGATTTAACTCTAAAAAGTGGTCTTGATCAATAATAATAAAATCCACCGACAAAATTTCAGCTCTGTTTCCACTATCTTCCTCAACTTCCATCACATTAATTTACATATATAAATTAATTCCACATGGATGCTTCCAATCTCAGCGAATTAAATGAAAACAGTTGCAGTGTGGATTTTAATTTATTTTGAGCTCTTCGATTATCGATTTCGCATCTAATTAAAGCTCATCCACAATACTATCTCCCCACCAATCAAACAATCAATTTATGGAACACTCAAAAAAGCTGTAATTTACATAAATTGCGTATGCAATAATCACAGGATTTTATTTATTTATTTTTTTTCTGCATGGATTTTCACAATACATTGTTGGACATAAGAGGATTCTGAATCCATAATAATGAAACAAAAATAGATTGATATGTCGGTGAGGATTGGGACATATAGCAGTTGCATTTTAATTTACTGGTGAGCTTTTATGCAATTTAGTTGTTTTTAATCCTTTTTGGATGGAATTGTTCACACAAATATTTGTTTTTGTTTTGGGAATTATTGAGGTTGTCTAATTTTATATAATTGTAAGGACTAAATTAATGGTGACAATAACACAAATGGGTTAAACGTAAATGATGTAATGGGAATGAGATAGGACGAGTTATAGAAATAGGATTTGAAGGATTAATCTCTTCTAGATAGATCTGAAGGATAAATTACATTCTAGATCTCCCACAAAATAGTTCAATATTAGACATCATTTATGAATGTGCCCAAACAAACATGCATTAATACTTTTTGTTTTATTTATCATTCCTCGCAATATCAATTGAAATTAAGCTTGGTATTGTATGAACAAACTGATATGACACCAAAATTCAATTATTATGAGAATGGTCGGGAAAATTTTATCAAGGCTTTTCAAGTTCCACATAACTCAACAAAATACAAAAATCTCCAAAAATATAAAATTCACAAAAATCAATGCATATGCTCAATAAAACTCTGTTTAGAATCTCAATAAGTATCGATATTAATGGAGCTTCTATTATATTCAATTCCCATACAGGGAGATGCTGTTTGAATACATTTCGAGTCTGAATATATAAGGAAACTGAATTATTTACTTGCCTTATTTAATTAATTATATTCTTAGAAGAAATGATGTGAAATTAAATGAGAAGATATAGAAATGTGGGTGTACGAGGCACACACGCACATACATATCCTCAGAACATAATGAATGGCTGAGTTAATACACAAAGTTATAGGAAGAAAATTGCTAATTAATTGTTATTTGTCTCTAATACAATTCTCTATAGACTGTATAAGCATAGAAATAGAGGAAGTATATGAACATGAGAAAAGAGAAGTCGTAAGTTTCATTAATTAGGCCCTAAAATTTACCACTGCTATTACCGATTTATTATGCACCAGTTCCATCAGACTGAGTGTTTTTCATAAAATTCTGAAGATTAAAATTTGTCATTGAAATATTTTTTGGTTTCATATCAACTTCCTGCATATGCGAATGTAAAGATGCTTATGGAATTAAAAGTAATTCCATCCGATTACTCTGGATTCATAAGAAAATCCCCAGTTATTCAAGCTGATGCGTACACGCAACATATTGCTTCCTATTACACTAAGCTTTCATCTTTCCCCACATTTTATTAATCATTATCACTCATCATTGTAAATATTATGTAAGTAATCATAGTCTTATCGCAGTAGATTTATCGAAGAGAGTAATTTTTTTCGATGTGTCATGTGAGTGTGAATTAATGCTGCAATATCACGATCTCATTTATTTAAACGAGAGAAGTCAACAGTAGTATAATGTGCGTATGTTTATCCCTAGCTATTATCATACCATGATATATGATGTGATATATCTTTACCCATGTACCGACTGGTGGCAAAAAATTCTAAATCAATATGACATGATATAATAATAATAAATCCTATAATTTTCTCCCCATTCTAACATTTGAGCGCGATTTTCACATCCTGGAAGAATTCCTAATATATTTTAAGTATTGTTGCATTATTAGCTATTCATCTTTCCAGTCGTTTACCATCCATAGATTCATCAGTAAACATTCTAGCATGAATAGCATAAAATGAACTATAAACGATTACGCTCGAATCGTTTTGCTTTCCTTTATATAAGTCTGTGTTTTCTTTACATTCCAATCTGTCCATAAGAACAGTAGTGAGGACGAGGAGAAAATAAGATTAATTAATATGAGCATGAATGTGAAAATTCTGAGGAATTTTATGAGATTTTCTACCCCAACTTCTGAGAAGAATTTCAGTTGTTCTTGTGATCAAGAATTTTTTTTGACACAACGTAAAAAAGGAAGGAAATCTTTAGAAAATATTTTCGTAGGACGGAATGATGCTATAGTAAAGTGGGTAAAGGAATGACAAGTAAATACCACAAAAGGTTCGATTCATTTGAAGTTTAAAAATAAACATAGGAAATGATGAATTCAATTGGGATGTTGGTGCTTATAGCTTTAAGAATTGCGGAAACTCGCACATTTTATTTGATATCTCGTAGCTGCATATTCTATTTTTAAACAGGATATTAGAAATCATAATTCGTATTAATATAATTTCGAAAGATAAATAAGAAGCTAATTATTCTTAGAAAACAGAGTCTTTTGATTTGATTAAGCAAACATGATTCATAAAGCTTATAACAACTTAAAAGCTATAGCTACAGCTGTTTTTCCGCGAACAGCATCGTTTGAAAAAGAAAAAGTTTATTCAGGAAATAAAAATTGAATTTGTGAAGTAGAACAAGATCAATAGAAGTAGAAGTTGAATTGAAGTATTAAGCATATTTTCCTTTCAAACTGCTTCAACCTATCCATTTTTATTTCCATGTATTGAGTGTGTACTTATGTTAAAGAGCTATTTATGGCAATGGCAGGAAAATATTATTTCTGCTCTCTTTTTCCATTCTACAAAGATTTATTCCTTAGCCAAATATTGAATGAGAGTTTTGCTCGCTTAAAGTGTGCGTATATACAGCCACGCATCAACAGTCAAGGAATAGCAACAAGGGTAAAAGAGATAAGAAAAAAATGTGAGTAAGTGAATGAGAATGGGTGTATGAATGGATAAGGAAAACAAACTTGGATATACACACAGACAGACTCTATAAAAATGCAAAGGTACGTTCAGTAGCAAATATATATAGCAGTAAAGTTGAACAGTTGAAAAGTAAACATTAGAAATTCAATTTTGGAATTACATAAATAAATATATGGAAATGTTGTTTTTATCATCTCTGGGGCATCATTTCTTTAATGGATGTCCTCATTTCTTGAATATCATTGATATCTATTTTCTGTTGATGTATGTCTCTTTTTGTTTCTTTGTTTGGGATGAAACATTTATTTATTTGAAATGAATTCACAAAAGGAATTGAGAAGTTTTGAATTTTAGATTTTTGTGGGATGAATTGAAAAAACGCATTAGATTTCTGTGGCTGTCAGGTTTTGTGTTGGGTCAATTATTGGTTTGCATTTCATTCCTTAATTTCTAATTTCAAGCTCTAAAACTATTTTAAAAGGATGAAGAAAAAATCGTTTTCATTACGTAACTAATGAACGACCCCATTTACATCAGTGCACATAAATAACCTCTGATTTTCAATGTCGAATGTCCTATAAATTTATTCTAAATAAAAGAAGATTTAATAGGCTCAAATTAAGATAAAAACTTTTAAAACTCAAATTGATTCTTCAAGTTGTTTCAAGCTTTTAAGCTTGGGTGTATTTTTAATATCAAATCTGTGCTTAAAAGCTCAAAACATCAATTCACAAGAAATTCTTTCTCTATTATTTATAGCAAGCAATAAAATCCCCAAAACTAACATGCTATATTTATTGCAGAAATAAATTAAAAGCTACTTCTTACTTCACTTGCATCAAGGCTTTTATCGTATTTTTCACATTATATCACAAGAAAATCGTGCCTATCGTTGAATCTATTCATAGCAGACTAATTCTCTTAAAGCCTTCAGCATTCTTCTTCTACCTCAAAATAGCACGAAGAAATAAAAAGCTATAAAAGTTCTGGCTATCGACAAACTCTTCACAAGAACGGAGTCATTCATAAATGACGTCTATGAAATAACATAAATTTATTAGGAGCATCCTGCTCAAAACACACTCCATAATATCTCTTATTGTTGTAACATCATATCTGAATGACCCCCAAAAATTTATATAAATAAAATCTAATAAATTTTTCAGCATCACTTTTTGGCAGCACACTGAATCAAAATTTAAGATAAACAAAGTTTCAATCTTAAAGCTTTCTTATCCAACCGACATAAAAAGCATAGAAAAGTAGAGAATAATGTGAAGAAAATGAGAAAGTTTGTCTTCACGTCGGTAATCAATTGGCATAAGATGAAAGCAAATGAATAGCTTTTCGGAACGTTTTCACATGAATTTTGAATGAGCTGAAATGTTCTCAAGAGTTTGATTTTAAGTAAGTGAAGTAAATAAGCAATGAATGGATGAGTGCATAAAGGGAGCATGAGAATGTCTTAAAAGCATCAGAAATGAAAATTGTATAAAGTTTGCTGCTTTATATATGTTAGAAGGTTAAAAATTCTCAGAAGGTTGTTGATCTCGAAATTGTCGTTTCTTCCTTATGAATTTTTCAACAGAAGTATTTTATCATTTTTTTCCATTCGACATGATTAATTTAATTTGACTTTCATAAACTTGAGCTCTTATATTTCAAAATTATGCAGCCACAAATTTGTTGGTATGAACACTAAGAGTCATTTTATACTATAAAGTTATGAAAAGAGTAAGTTATTGCTTTAGAACTCACGATTAAAGATATATTGGATCATTAACAAGTGACGTCCATTGAGAAATAGTATTTTTAAGGTCAGCAAATGCTTATAGCCTATATTATGTCTCACAAAGTTCGAGATTCTGCATTAGACATCATAAGTAACCGACCCATTAAAGTTCAATTCCCAGAAGATTAAAAAAACTATTAAAGCACAAAAAGAAAACATCACAATTCTCCAGCATTATCTATTCCTCAAAGAAATACAGCTTAAAATAAAATGAAGATGAAAAAGCTCCAGCTACAGCAATGATCAAGCAAAAAAAAACAGCATTGTATAAAAAATATGAGTCAATATGGATAGAAGACAGCAAGCTCATAAAAATGTATTTCATTTCACAGTCTTGTAATAGCTATCCATCCCCAGTACACATATACTTTATTTTCTTTTTGCTGAATTCGACTGAAGAGCGAATCATCATCATTGTAAGAATATTGAAGTAACTGACTCAACTCAACTCGATTCACATTTTAACATTCTTTTGAGGATATACAATTTAGGATGGAGACTCAAGTTATGTCTTTAAGGCGCACTTTTGACTGTTTTGACTTAGAAATCAAACCTCCTTAATGTTGGTCATAATATGTTAATTTTTTATTGATGCTTTCGTGGACTGTAGAAGATTTGTCAAACTTAGGGTCAGTTCAAAAATCCACATCATTAACAAACAACCCCAATGTCAAAGCTAATAATCATGCTTCTAAAAATCGAGTAGATGTTCAAACCTTTTCTCGATCATACACATTGATACATCCCATTAAATATTCAGGACATGAAAAACATGTGAGGAAGAGAGCAATGTACATGTAAAATAGTAGAAAAGATAGAGAGTACATACCTATTCTATCGGGATTGCAGGGATAAATTCCACTCATATGTACGATAAATGCGCCAATTGCAATTCCAAAAATAATCAAACAGATGGCAACGATGAGCAACCGAATTCTCGTGCTACGCTCGATACGAGTCGATGATGATAATTTCAATAAATTAAATTTATATGTCCTATTGTTATTAGCTTTAAATATTTTGCAATTATCACCCGCTTTTATACTGTTACCAATTGATGATGACGGCACATTACTACTTGTACTGATCGCATTCGTTTGTGAACGATTACTATTTGTGCTACTATTCTTTACATTATTACGCTGTAATGTTGTTATAGTTTGCATGGAATTGGGATAATCCAAATTGACGACGACTTGTGATTTATTTGTTGTATTTGTGGGTGATGTTGATATTGGCGATATGGAATTTCGAAGCGACGTAGCAGTGGCATGTTGCGGACTTGTGAGATTTGCATTTACTGGCGATGCTGTCGTTGCTGTCGGATTATTTATGATGTTGGAATGTGGTTGCGGCTGCTGTTGATTTACATCCAGTAGTAATATTGTTGATGTATCACGATTGAGTGTCTGCTGCTGTTGTTCTTGTTCCAATAAGGCAGCATCTGATGATGATTCATAATCCATTATTATTGATTCAGCACTCGGCGGTAAGTGAATGTAACCATTGTTTAATTTTACTGTAGCTTTATTCAAATTGTGCCATGTGACATTGTTGCCACAATCTGTGAGCATAATTTGAAAAAAGTGTCAGGACAAAAATTTTTTTTCTTCTTTCTCTGCCTCGTTCTGTTCTTCTTCCACTTTGTTTTATATCCGACACAAAAAACTCTTATCTTTCTACGTGCGTGCGTGGTTTTTTCTATGAGAATGACTCTGATTTAATTTCTAATATCCTTTTTCAGTACGTTAGTGAACGCATTTTATGATGATGACGATAATGTTGATGAGTTTGATGATATTGTCGGGTCTCATAACATTTAAACACATTTGCTGGCAATTTGCTAACACATTGAGTTACAAAATAATTTTTTTTTTTATATTCTTCTTGTATTCTATCTAATCGTACACAATTCACACAATGAATGCAGAGGAAAGGGAAAGTTGTAGCTAGTGTTTCATAAATTGTTGGTTTTTGTATGCTTTATATTATATATTTTTTCACTTTGGACAAGTATCACGCAATATGTTACTGAAACAAGAACTGCACAAATGTTAGGATGATTGTCAGGGTTAGAAATAAAGTTTTCATGTATCCATCATCATTAATGTCTTAAGATCTACACAAAATGTGATTAATTGCTGGGTTTTTCAGTAATTAAATCAAATTTTGGTTAATTTCCACAACCTTAATGTCTATGGATATTTGTCTAACCCTGGATCCTTCCTCTTTTGTTTTCTTGTCTTCTTTCTGTTCTTCTGTATGAAGACAAATGGCAAAAAAGTAAGTTCGTAAGTGAGACGAAAAACAAATGTAAAAACTTTTCTGTTCCTACGTCGGTTTTTCCTTCTCGCATTCAATTTTTTATCACACTTTGCCTAAACTTTTTTCTCTTTCTTTTATTTCATCCACTTCGTCACATAATCTGCTGTTTTTAGTTCTCACTGAACTTAATATGTAGTTACAATATTCTTTTATAAGATGTTTTCATAAAAACATAAAAATGAATAAATTGTCTCCGTCTTATTGTTAACTTTTTATTTCTCCTACTACACTTTTTGATTTGTTTCTATTACTTTTTTTACGTCACTAATTTAGTTTATCCTTTTGAGCACTATTTCAAGTTTGTTTCTTTTAATTTTAATTTTTTTTCTTCTCTTTCATCCAGTTGTTTTATGGTTTCAAATGTCTATGAACGGAACAGACTTAAATGGAAGAAATTAAAGACGATTATTTTTAACAAATTTTGGCTTTGGAGTTGAAATTTGGTTGATCCATTTTTGTGGATGTGGATTGCAAAATTGTGGGGTATGTTAGTAGATAGAGGAACCTTTTAGGTATGGATTAAAAATTTTTTGATACAATTTTGTATTTTAAGAAGGCACATTCCGTGCACCATATTAGAATATCAGCTCTGATAAGCAGTTTTCTCAGAAACTGCAGAACTTTGAATAAAACATTTAAGTTATGTTAGAACCTTATACAAAACTTCTTTAAGCGACAAGTCTTATTTGCTCGTAAATTACAGCACACACTCAAAGAACTCAACAACAATCCACATTAGCGGTAAACTCATAAGTGGACTTGAACGACACCAGCTTCACGAATCTCATTTATGCAATTTCGAGACTCATTAGTATACATATGCGATAATTAGACAGCAGCAGAGCACTCGTGATGATAGAACGAGAGAGACATCACAGAAGAAGAAAATCATCTAATGACGTGTCATTTATAATTAGCATAAAGAAGTTTATTTTTGCACTTGTGATGCAGACACTTGAATAATATTGCATGTGCCATTATATGGAGCATAGAGATGTGCAAGTTTTAAGGGATTATTTATGGTTTTCAGACAAAGTGTGGCTGGCAATTGAATTTGACATTTCAAATGAATTAAATGCGATAAAGTTTTATAAAAAATTCATTTCCTGGGAATAAATTGCTTTGTTTTGTGTTTCTGAGGATTGACTTAAGGTAGAGTTTCAGGCTTGAATGGAAATTGAGTTTTTATTTATTCCGGTTTGAACTATTCTACTATGACGTCCAATATTCGTCCAGACACATCTGGTTGATGATGACACGCATGCTTATAGAACAACAAACAGTTCAATCTGTTAATCTGGAAGCTGTGATATGAGGGAAGTCTTTAAAAAAAATTGAATCACGTCATTTATAAAAGACTGCCTTGAACAAATTACATAAAATTCCTTAACATTAAAATAAATATTATGGAAGTGATTATGTAGCTGCAATCCTGAATTTTCCGAAAATTGTTTTGAGTGAATAAATGTTTATCTCAAAATTACCTCAATTTATTTTACCTACTCAAATATTTAATGATCAAACTTGGTAATTTTTCCCATTTCGAAAGAAGATTAAAACATTTTCATTTTCCTCTTGCTTTAAATAATCATGAATTTTCTCGTCTGTGCAGCAAAATGAAAAATGCATGTTTAATTTATGATAAAATTTCATGGGACAAAGCAAATTCATTTATTTGGTCTTTAACTTTATTGTTCTCGACTTTTTTACACATCATGACATTTTAAGGGTTAAGCACGCGCTTCCATTTAAATAAATTTGCAGGTAGAATTATGAATACAAAAGTGAGGGTCTTCTAAAGTCAACAGACATGCATAAGCTGGGTTTACAATAATATTTTATGAACGGGTTTTGTTGTTTGACTTTTTGGAAGTTTGGCATTCATTGGCAATAAATCTTATGAAATCTGGTCTATTAATATATTTGAAGATCTAGATTTTAGCTTCACTGAATCTAAGAAAATTCATTAACTTAATTTTAGATCATTCAAGTGTCTATCACAACAACCTACAGCATTCTGTAATTCATCAAGTCCTCAACATCATTCACATCTCCGTTCATTAACTACAATGTTGAGGAAAATGTAAATATTTGCAGCAAAATTGATCATGCTTGAGGCAGCATTCAATCAAATGAATTAAAATCTATTTTTTTGGGTCAATGGTCAATTTTGTGAAATTAAAATATGTTGCAATAATTTATTATGAAATTAATTGCAATAATGAGTCATTCATCAGTTACGTCCAGCAATATAAAAGAATGTGTGACATTGCATCGAAAGTTCCACATCATTTATAAAATGATCCCCAAAGCTAAATGCCCGAATGACTCAATTATTAAAAATTTAATTTTGTTGCTGTCAATTCCGATGATTAAATTCGTCCTTTAATATTTTATGAAACTGGTACAAGTTCAAACTGGAAATAAAACTTCTCGACTCGGATGAAAAAATATGAAAATATGCTAAAATTCATCCGCATCCAGCAACTTTTTCAACTTTTTTTTCTGTTCAATGAAAAAAAAAGTTTCTTTCAATTCTCATTTCCTAGTCAAAGGAATGAAAAAAGGAACGAGAGAAAACGATATAAGTGCTTTAAGATATTTTTCAAATAAAAATTTCATCTCACACAAAAGCTCTTTCGTGCATAACTTTCGGAGATTGATAGTACACTAGAGATCAAGCATAAAACGTAAAAGTGTCAATCACATTTGAGAAAAGTTGAAGTATACATCTACGTTACTGCTGATGTTGTTGGCATTTAAAGATTCAGAATGAAATGAAATGAGACGAAATGAATTGAAAGAAAGGCAAGAAGAAGGAGCAGAAAAAAATGGCTTTTGGAAAAGTTTTCTGTTGCTTTTTTTAAGGATAGAAAAAAATACCATCTAAATCTCATCGATTATTTTTGCAAAAATAACAAATCTTTCATACATAAAAACACATTTGTAGGAACACACCCCATATATACACATATATACACAAAATAAAGTCAATCAATTTTCAATTCACGTACACCTTCATCATTTCAATTTTTTTTTTCTGTCGAAGAGAATACAAACTCGTGCATGGGAAATTTATAGTCTATACACAATGAATGAGCCAATATAGATAGCTAAGAAATGGAAACGAGGATGAATTTTTTGAATGATTTAATTTTTGAGCGCATTTAGTTTACTTTACGACACAATAGTATTGAATTGTAAGAACTACATATTTCTTATGAAGTCAACAGGTTTGTGACCACCTTTTTGCAATTTACATACTTATGAAAGCTTTATCATCAACACAATAGCTCAGATCCAATAGAAAACTGCATTGTTGGGAAATCCTAAATGGGAATATGTTTATTTTCATCAAAATACCAAGAAGCTGCCAAAAAATCATAATTATGTTTGATAATAACGTGTAGGATCAAGATTGTATAATTTTAAGTCAGCCAAAACAACAAAATTCCAAAAAACTTTGCCTCAACATCCAGTTTCAAACATTTAAATCAATTCCACTCTTTCATCTCTTCTCCTATTGAACACGCTTCCCAAAAGACATGATGTAAAACACTGTCACGTTATTATACACGTTAATTCATAAAATATGTTGGAAATAAAAGATGTGAGCCATTCAGATTGGTGCGAAAACAATTTTTTTTCGAAAAAAAAAAACATTTGAGAAATAAAAGAATGAAAATCAGTGTCAGACATTCTTCATTCTAGCTTTTTTTCATTTATTCCGATCCATATATAGCAGAGACATGACACGAGATATGGTAGAATTAATAGGAGAGAATAAAATGATGACGATGATGATGATGACGGTATGTCTCGAATTTATATAGGAAGTGACATGATATAAAGGAGGCTAGAGTTGGAAACCTAAACTGTAATTTAGAAAAGAATTTTTCGGATGTTTAAGTAATCGAGTTACGCCTTAAGTGAAGCATAGATTTATATGCCAAATCAAAAGTTTCAAGGTATCAGTTTGTGTTAAATTAAATGAAATATGCCTCACTATGCCTGATGTTTTCACATCTTGAAAAATGTTTATATTTATGAAGGCATAAAAGAATTTACTTTGTTACTTTATTCAAATTTCTTTTCAACATAAAAGTAAGGCATAAAAAGACAGTGTGGAATTTTCCATCTTCAAAAATTTTTTCATTCTCCTTTTTTTTTGTTTCCGAGTATTTAAAATTCCACACCAAATAGACTTGAAAAGGAAATAAGTTCGACAGTGACTGTACTGAAGTCTATAAAGCTTCATGGGAAAGGGAAATAAAGAAGCTGAAGGAAATTACGACCTTTATTTTTATTTAGAACGAAAAAAGTGAAAAGAATGTTGAGAAATAGAAAGAGGAAGCAAGCTCTTCATTTTTGGTGCTGGTTTATTACATAAAGTTGGTTTTAGTGCTCAGTTTGGGGCAAATGACTTTATAAATCTCATCTTTTGAGTAAGTTTTTCAGGCAAGTGCCTCTGGATCCCACAATAGGAAAGAAGTCTCTAGACAAGTGTTTAAATTGTTAAAAGCTTTCCAGTCATCTCCATAAAATATACAAATGCCTTTTTTACTTCCCTCATTTTTGACTATGAAGCAAAAAAACAAAAGAAAGTCATATACTTTTCACAGCACACGCTTGAAACATTTACTGTAAAGTGAATGGAAGAAATGGAGCAAGGTCTCTTCTACTGTTTAAATTTCCGTAAACGAACTTTATGTTGCTCGATGGTAGAAAATAATATTTTACAATGTTGTACAAAATTTTTATTCATTTTCTCGCTCACTCACTTTTCTGTGTTGTGTAGTAATGAAATTATATTCAACTTCCGTCCTTGATCTATGTCAAAATAAAAATATATGAGGAGAGCAGGAAGAAAAAAATTTCCTTTTTAGTTCATGCTTGATGGTTCTATTAAATTTTACAAGTTGTCGTCATTTTTGATATTGAGGACGGTTTTTATGAGGAACAGCTTCCTCTTTCATTGTAATATGTGTCAAATAAATATCTTATTAAATCGTTTTCACGTCAGATTAATGCCAATGACAGAGGATAAAAATATGACAATAAAATATCGGGTTTAAAGTCATTTGTTGCTGATTTTTCACAAGGATGGAGATATTTTTGTGTATCATCCGCCTTACTGTTTACTGAGGATTCAAATTATGCCAGAACTATTTTAATTTCATAGCTACATGAGCTAAATTCCTGTGCAGAAGTGAAAAATATCTCACATTTCTTTGAAGCTGTACAATGCTCGAGCGTCCTTAATTTGAAAAAAATATTCAGTCTAACAAAATTCTGTTTAAATCAACTCAAGTTCCTCATATAAAAATTCATAAAATCGAGGATCCCGTAGTAGATAATAAATTTCATTCAAAATTTATAT